CTACTAACCAGGCCGTAGTCTGCATGGAAAACGACAGCGAGTCCTGGCCAGAATTAGAAGGAACTGCCGCGGCAGGTAAAATGAAGGGGCCAAGGGAGACAACCATAAATATACACAAATTACAAGAATCCCATAATCTTTCAACATGGTCTAGACTACCTCCCTCCCTCTACATTCCCTATTGCTTCCAAATGCTATCATTACTATCAGCGTTTGTGTGTGGTCATGCCTAATTTGTCCTTCCAGGAGAAAGCACAACAATCGAAAACTTCAGTAGTTCGCGCTAATTTCTTTGGGCGACGCTGACCAGCTCGGCGGAAGCGCGCCAGAAGCGGCGCCGGAAACGCCGCCAGGGGGGGCAACTGCCCCCATCCGTGTCGCCCCCGTTTCTGCCCTCTCCAATGCAGTCAGGCAGCCTCCTGACCCCCATGGGAAGAAGGGGGGTGGGAAAGAAGAGGAGTTGAGCAGGGACCGACCGTCCCGGCATTCTTATAGTTCTACCACGAAGTGTTCTCAGAACCCAAAAATGTCCTAATAACAAGAACAATGTTTTTTTACAACATAAGCCCGATGTGATAAAACAAGACAGACTCCGACAGAAATGTTCAAAGAACATTTCGTGGAAACCACAAAAACGATTCTTAGAACATGGTTTGGTAGGGCTACAGGCGAGCCAGGACGCTTCGCCATTGCTTGGAGGAGGGAACGAGGTGCAGGAGAGAGGGAGGGAGTGATGAGGAATCGCTGGCTGGCTGGACCGCAGAACAAAAACTGGAGGGTTCTGCGGCAGAGTGCCGGCGTGCAGCCTTCGTGAAACGTAGCGGCGACGTCACTACAGAGGGGCGAAAGTCGGGGGGACGTTGCGTGGCGGGGGGCACTTACGGGGGTGCGAACGATAGGGACAGGAAAGTTGTTGCTATAACGGGGGCCCTCTAGAGGGCCCCGTGCACTGGCACCCCAGTTCAACAAGATCGTGAAAATGAGCACACTCTACAGTGCGGCCGGGAAAGCGAGTTCGGCAAGTGTTTGCCTTGACGCCGCCAAGCTGGTTTCGGAGACACCGCGCGGGCCGCTCACTCTGTAACGATATCGGCTCTCTGAGGTCCCCAAAGGCTGTCGACCCAATCTGTTACATGGATTTCGAGTCGTTGATTGATGTCTGTACATCCTGGGGTCCCGAACTGGGCCGGCGTTCGACCTCGAACCTCGAGGCGGCGCGACGATGCCCTACTGGCTCAAGTGGGGGAACATCGACTTGGATTCGGCGATGCATCGTCGAAATATCAGCCAGCCATAGGCCCCCCCCTTCCAAGCAATCAAGTAGCAAACTCCACGGGGAAGGCTGGGGCATCCAGACCCAGATCAGCAGTGTATGTGGCCGATGTCCCCTCTCTGTGCCAATCCCCCCAGAACGGTCTCCAGAGCTCTCTGGAGGTTTAGCCGGGAACGTCCGTCCATCATCTATGATCGGTTCTCTAGGCAAGCATCGTCAATGATCCTCCAGCAGGCCTGTCCAAGCATCGTCCAGCAACCACCGAGGATCGTCGATTCATTGAATATCAATTACCGGTCATCGACCAACGAATTCCGTTAATCGATTCTCTTGGCGAATGCCCCGCCTGTCGCCCATCCAGAAATCATCGGCGGGAACTGTATATCACACGCCGATGCGTCGGGACGGAAAAAATCTGGCTGACGCGCCGCCGACTGCCGGGACCACAAGGACGAGCATGGGACGTCTCCCCCTCTCTACCGTCTTCCTCCCACCTCCTCCTCACCATCCCTCCTCTGACTCTTTCACCTTCATCCCCTCTTCCTTATTGGCAATCCTTCCTTGTTGCACCATTTCGCGTCTTGGTTAGGAGGCCAGGCGTTTCGCCTGAGATATCCACACCCCTGTCGATCCTGAATTTCAAAATTGCCAACGGTTGCATGGACGAAAGGTGGAACGTTTCTGGACTGCGCATCTAGCCGTATCGCCGCGCATATGTGTATCCAATTATTCGAACCGCTTCGCGAATGGGGGGGCACATCGTGGCCCACATCGGGCTCCCACCTGAGCGCCCCGCACAGTTGTCTTGCGAACTTCCATCAATTACATTAATGAAGGTGCGCAATATTTTCGACGCGTGGGCACTGCTTGAGACGCCCTCTAACCGTATCGCCGTCGATGAAACAGCGCATCTGCTTCCCTGATGGAGAAGACTAGCCTCTTGTCAACAGCTTTGCCCGTTGATTGAAACTTCGTGAAACATTCAGACGAGCGTTCACAATTGCGCGACAATTTCAGAGGTGAAGAGCAATTCCTATTCAAGAGGGGGCTCTCGCTGTCTACGTCCTTGAACTTTCAGATCCTCCTGCTGGGCATGTCGAGTCGGGGGCCTAGACCCACTCAATAGCAGAAAGCATATATACTCCGATCCACATATCTTAAAACACATCAATAACTCGGCTAGCCTATGCTCATGCCCACTCATACCTACACCGACTCATACTTATGCGCACTCGTACTTGGTTACTTAGACTCTCCTATTCGAGCCCGTTCACCTGCAGGAACGCTCGCGCATTGCCACGCAATCTCAATGCAACTCAGAATCGTACTCGGGCATACCCAGACACCGAGAAAGGAACACGGTCGGAAACAAACATGCGCAGATGGAGATGTTCACCGATTTCGAGCCCCAAGCCATCAACTTGTTCGACGCTGAAATACAACGCTGGGGGGGGGTATAGGCTCAGGGAAAAAGGGGGGACACATCGGGTCGGAATCGGTGATGCATCGTTGGGAAATCGTGAGCCCCCGATGGGACATCCAGACGCTCCTGGGCGGGGTGGCACGTCTTGCCGAGCCTTCCCTGTTCTGCGCTTCCGATGGCGAAGGGCTTCCTGGTCGTCCAGAATCTTCCGTGGGCCCTGGTGTTCGCCACGTGGACCTCGTAGTCCAGAGACTGGCCCCTGCTGGTGACCTCCGTAGCACTGCAGGTGGCTCCCGTAGGGAGATCTGTGGGCGATTGAGGGTCGATGCCCCCCCCCCCCGAGCCTATCCACCCCCGCAGCGTTGCCCATGCCCCCCGTCCTGCTGCGACCGCCGCCCTCCCGAGAGGGGTGCCCCTCCGCGCTCTCCTCGTCGCGCTGACTCGCCGTCCGCCTCCCCGTCTGTCTCTCTGCTTCGCCTGCCGCCCCCCCCCAACCCTTCTTGCTTCGCCTCCGCTCCCTCCTCCCGGCCTCCCACCCTCCCTCCTGCCATCTTGGACGCCCGAAATGGGTACGGAAAATATGGGTACAATGCCCAACAACATATGCTGTCTCAAATAAACAGCGGCCGCTGTTGGGCAGGCGGCCTTCTGTCTCAAATGGACAAAGGCCGCGGCGACACCGACAGCGAGTCCTGTTCAAAATGAACAAGAACTGCTGTTGGGCATTGTCCCCATTCTTTCCGTACCCATTCCGTTCGTGCCGATCCATGGCTCATTCTCCCTCCCTCCCTCCTTCACCTCCACCTCCCTCCCTCCGCCTCCCTCCACCTCCCTCCTCCTTCCGCCTCCACCTCCAAACCCGCTCCTCCCTCCACCCTCCCTCCGCCCGCTCGCTCTCTCATCCCCCCCACGGACTCCCTCCCCCGATTCCATCCTGCTCCTCCTCCTCATGCTCCTCGACATCTTCCTCCTCCTCCCCCCCCTCCCGCATCCTCCCTCCCTCCCTCCCCTCCCCTCCCCTTGTCTCTGCCGCGGTCCGTGCTCGAGCGCCGGGCCTCACAAATCTGAGCGCCGCCTCCGGCTCCTGCCACTCCTCCCCTCCTCCTCCCCGCGCTCGCCCTGGTCCCTCCTCCTCCACGCCTGCTTCCCCCCTCCGATCCTGCTGCTGCCTCTCGTCCTCCTCCCGCTCCCCGCCCCCCCGATCCTCCCTGTTCGCTTGGGCCTTCCCCCCCTCTCCACCTTCCCGCCCTCCTCTTTCTAGATCATTGTCTTTCTTCACCTCAGTTCCATTCCACGTGGTTCTCAACCTCGTTCTTCACCTCAAACTTTTCGTTCGTTCTGACTTTTTGTGTGCGTTTTTTTGCTCTCTCTCTCTCACTCTCTCTCTCCCTCTGTTTCTCTATCTCTCTCTCACTCTCACTCTCTCTCTCTCTCTCTGTTTCTCTCTTTCTCTCTCTGCTGCTTGCGCGCGCGGGAAAGGCGGGACGTAGCACGGACGCCCGATGACCTCTGATGGAGGTCGGGGCCCACGTCAGAAGCACGCGAACCAGGCAAAACATGTGCCCACAGTGGGCAAACAATCTGAACTGCAGCGCTCTCGTGGAGCGACGCGTTCGCTTCACGACCGTACTCCGAGTTCAAGCACGCCAGCCTCGGTCAGAAGACTGGTAAAAGCAAGTGCGGCGGAGCCGATCATAACCGTCCTGACTCGCCCGTCCCGTCCGGTTCCATCCAAGCCGACTGAGCTTCCATGCCCGAGCAGCCACGCAGAGAGGTGCGGAACACCTGCAGCCGCGAAGCGGCTACTGCGACCGCACATGCTCTGGACGCAGCGCCTGCCTGTAGCATTCAGTCGGGTATGTCATACTAGAAGCGGAGTTAGAATGATAGTAATATAGATAGTCAAACCATAATCGATACTAGTCAAGAGAGCACGACAACACGTCACCAGACTATATGTTTACTATTCTTGGCCATTCCTCCTGTAGAGGGACATGCCCGACTTAACAGTAGCAACAGGAGGTGCGCACATGCGCCTGCTCCAAATGCGATCGGAGTGATGAGGGCGCGCCCGGAGGGGAGCAGCCCGCACCCCCGAAATCAGGAGGCACCTCTACACCGCCACCAGGCCTGGCCGGGGCCATCAGGAGCCCAGGCATGGCGCCCACGCCTGCCTGGCCTCGGCCGAGAGGGTCTACATTTCCCAATCGGTGCTTGCACTGCAGGGTTCCTAGCGGAGTTTGAAAGATTTGGCGAAAATTTCCCGCCGATTTTGGTGGCAGGCTGGGTTCCCAAGTTCCCAGTTCCAGGCTCCCGGGTAAGATTTGAGGAAATCTTCCCGCCGATTTTGGTAGCAGGCTGGGTTCCCGGCGTTCCCGGGCTCCCGGGTTCCCAGATATGAGTTCCGGGACAAATTCGGTGGGCTCTGGGCTCCCGGGCTCCCGGGTTCCCAATCGATCTCCTCAGCGAAAACCATCCACTCATTGGGGAGCATCCTACGGCCCAAGATGACAGCGTGGGCGCATGGGGGCGGCATGCGGGGCGGCGGAGCCGATTCGCCCCGGACCGCTCCTCCGCCCGCGGACCGCTTCGCCCGCGGACCGCGCTGTCCGGCCCCGCCCGCTGGCCCGACCCGCCCTTCAGGATCCGCCCGCCCGACCCGCCCCTCAATCAAGAGGGTCCGCCCCCCCACATAGATAGATAGATAGATAGATAGATAGATAGATAGATAGATAGATAGATAGATAGATAGATAGATAGATAGATAGATAGATATATAGATAGATATATAGATATATAGATATATATAGATAGATATATAGATATATAGATATATAGATAGACAGATATATATATATATAGATACATATATATAGATATATAGATAGATAGATAGATAGATAGATAGATATATAGATAGATATATAGATATATAGATATATAGATATATATATATATAGATAGATAGATAGATATATAGATAGATATATAGATCGATAGATGGATATATATAGATACATATATATATGTATAGATATATACATATATATGTATATAGATAGATAGATAGATAGATAGATAGATAGATAGATCCATACATACATACATGCATGCATGCATGCGTACGTACGTACATACATACATACAACAAACAAACATACATACACACATGCATATACATATATGCATGTACACACGCATATATGTATATGTATGTATGTATGTATGCATGCATGCATGTATGTGTATGTATGTATGTATGTATGTATGTATGCATGCATGCATGCATGCATGCATGCATGTATGTATGTATGTATGTGTGTCTGTGTGTATGTATGTATGTACGTATGTATGTATGTATGTATGTATGCATGCAGGGAGGGAGGGAGGTAGGTAGGTAGGTAGGTAGGTAGGTATGCATGCATGCATGCATGCATGTATGTATGTATGTGTGTGCAGGTATGTATGTATGTATAAATATATATATATATATGAACAATTATATATACATATATATCTATATATATATATGTAAATATCGCCCGCCGACGCGATCCACCAGCGAAGCGATCCCCAACGAAGCGGTCAGGGCGAAGCTGAGAATCGCCTGACCGAGCCCATTCCCCACCAGCGTGGCATTGGCCCCACTGGCAGTCTGAACCCCCCGGCGGCGAGGTAGGAACCAGGGTTCCAGGCCCCCGCCTACGCCCCTCATGATGATGCCTTCGGGTCTCCCCCCCCTCGCGCAGTGGGTCCACCCTCCTCTGGTCAAGGCCCTGTGGTCGTGGCCCTGTGTTGACGTGGCGTGGTGGAGGAGGGTGCCGGTGCCCCAGCCCCTCCCCTCGTGGGTGTCGGGTGGTCCTGCGAGGCCATCGTCATCGTCATCGTCGTCGCCGTCTTCGTCACCTCCCTCATACCATCGTGGGGGGGGGGCTGCGGAATCCTAGGGCCGATCCTATCTGGGAGGAGCTTGTGGACCCTCGACCTGGGATCATCTATGCGGTTCCCTTCGGGTTTCGTGGGGCCTCTTCTCCACCTGGAGGAGTGGGGGCTGGTGGGGCTGGCGGGGCTGAGATACGCTTAACGCAACAAACAATGACAGAACATAAAAACTCGTTGGTCCGTGCAGATCTATCGGATCCGCGCTGGACCCCCTCCCTGGCGCGCAGAGCGCGCCAGGAGCGGCGCCGGGGGCGCCTCCAGGGGGCTCCAGCGCCGATCCAACGAATCCGCGTGGACCTCCGAATTTTTTTGTGTCATTGCTTGTTCCTCTCACTATTGCCCAATAGAGCGACGCTGAGAATCGGTCAGACGACGCTGAGAAGCGGTCCGCTGGCGAAGCGGTTCCCGGTGGCTTGGTTCGGACGCAGCGCCTCGCCGGGGAAGCCGTGCCTTGCCGTGTACAGGTGCCTCCCGCGAAGTCTTCGGCTCTCGCCGGCGCTCTCCACGACGGAGCGCAACTCACACATTCAGAAGGACGTGGCCTTGCCCCGCACGCACTCCTCTTCGGAAGTGGCGGGGGACGGACGGAAAGGATACAGTAAGGCAGGGCTGAACCTAAACGGTGTTTTTCGTTTTCGTTTTGTTTTCTTTTTCTCGCTTTTGTCTCGAATCCGCCCTTACCGCAAAACGAAGTCGAAACGAAAACGGCCCACAAAATCGCAAATTACGCAACCGAGGAACCCCACATACCTATTTTATTGCCCATGTGTACCATCGGTGCTTCTGCTGCTGCTCCTCCTTCTTCTCCTCGGTGTCCTCCTCCTGCTGCTGCTTCTGCTGCTGCTGCTTCTGCTGCTGCTGCTGCGTCTGCTGCTGCAGCTGCTGCTGCTGCTGCTGCCGCTGCTGCTGCCCGATCTCCCCGTCCTCCTCCTCCTCCTATGCGTTGGCTGCAACGCATAGGGCCCCCACCCCCAGCGCACCCCCTGTGGCGTCGAGGAAATGCCACGCCTGCCACGCCCTGGGAGCCTACAACGCATAGGGCCCCCACCCCCAGCGCACCCCCTGTGGCGTCGAGGAAATGCCACGCCTGCCACGCCCTGGGAGCCTGTGCTTTGATGTGCTGTGCGGTGCCGAGCTGAGCTGAGCTTTGCTGAGCTGAGCTGAGCTGTGCTGTGCTGTGCTGTGCTGTGCTGCGTTGAGCTGTGCTGTGCTGTGCTGCGCTGTGTGAGAAGGAGAGAGGGGGGAGGTGTGAGACGCTGGTGCGGCGCGGCAGGGAAGAAAACCAAGACCCCACGAAACATGTGGGGAAAAACACCGTTTAGGTCCAGCCCTGCAGTGAGGACCCCTGCGGAGGCCCGCTGCCCGTCGCGCCCGTCCAGCGCGGCGGTGCCGCGGCCCTAGCCGCGACGGTGCCGCGCGAATGAGCGCATGGGGGCGACGAGGCCCGGCCCGGGGCGGGGCGCTCAGCACCAGCGCGGCCTTCCCAGAGAGGCGCCAGCAGGTGGGTGTAGGCAGAGGTACGAGGTGGTAAAGTCGGACTCGATTGGACAGGACACGCGAGAGGACACAAGACCCTTCCGAGGGCCACATTGCCACAGGAATGCAGGAAGCATGGGTCGCGAGACACAGGCACAAGGGTACCCTTGATTTGGCAGGGTCGACCTACTAATCCGGGCCAACTGTAGGCAGAGGTACGACAGGGCTGAACCTGAACGGTGCTGTTCGTGTTTGTGTTGCTTTCGTGTTCCCTCGTTTTTGTCTTCGATTCGTCTCTACCGCAAAACGAAGTCGAAACGAAAACGGCCCACGAAATCGCCAAAACACCGTTTAGGTCCAGCCCTGGGAGGAGGTGGTAGGACGCGGCGCCAGGGAAGCGGGAGAGAAGGCAGGAGCAGCCAGAAGGGGAGGGAAGGGGGGGAGCAGCCAGAAGGGGGACACGAGGAGATATACGGGGAGGCAGGGCGTGGGAGGAGGTACGTGGGGGGGAAGGGCCCTCCCAGATGGGGTCCGAGCGGGTGGGGTGCGAGGATCGTGCATCGCCGATGCATCGCCGATGCATCGCAAATGTCGGCGAGGCATCGGCGACGTCGGCGCTGAGAGCATCTGGCCCAACAGCGTCCAGCATCGGCGATGCCTCTGCGATGCGGCGCGAACCTCCCGCCCCATGTGCCCAGACCGCAGTGGGAGGTCTGGATGGTCGAAGGCCCTCCCAAGACCTCTCTGGGGGGGCGACAAGGAGGGACTGGCCAGGGTTCTGTTTCTCCCATCGTACTTAAGGACCACATCCCAGAAAAAAGCTCGACCACCCAGAAGAGTGTCGAAACAGTGTCGAACCAGTGTCGCCTCTCAGGGCCCGACACGTGAAAACCTTCGAATGTGGTACTTTCGTGGTGCACGACATTCTTTTCTGGGAATCAAGGCTAGAAAAGGTTGGCACATCGAGTGAAGAGCACTGACCTGGAACCGGTGATGCATCGCCATGGATCGGCGATGTGCCCTCGATGCTGGCACCGGACGCTCCTGGGCAGGGAGGGGGCATCGGGGCCCCGAGTCTGACCGTGAGTGAGACAGGTGCGGCTGACTGAATTCAGCTGGGGGTGAATGTAAGCGGGTCTGGGTCTCCCCTGGCAGATCCCCCTTGGAACGCACAAGTGCCATGCCTGCTATACATCGCGGTGGTCACGCGGCTCCCAAGAGAGACAGAGCCTGGGAGGCCGAACGCAGCGATTCGCATGAGACATCCCCAAAGTCTGTGCACGAACGGGCCCATGAAACTCTCCCTTGCGGCTCCCCCTGCGGGAGCCCAAGCGCCATGCCTGCTGCATCGTGGTGGTCATGAGGGTGTGAAATAAGAGGGCGGGTGGAAACCCAAACCAACGTTTCGCAGGAGACGTCCCAACAATCTGCGCGCGAGCGGACACGTGCAACACTCCATGGCGGCTCACCCTTGGGGCGCCCAAGTGCCATGCCTGCTAACAACGTGATGGTAATGCGGTCAACAAAAAATATCCCAGACCGACCCTACCTAGGAATTGGAGCCCCGAGGAGAGCAGTATTAGTATTAACGGTAAACGCCATCCTCCTCCTTCTCCTCTATAGTTGCAATATGCTGCGCTATGCTGCGCTATGCTGCGCTATGCTATGCTATGCTATGCTAGGGTATGCTAGGCTGCGCTATGTTATGCCAGGCTATGATATGCTATGCTATGATAGGCCATGCTATGATATGCTATGTTATGATGCGCTATGCTATGCGATTATATGATATGATGAGCTATGCTATGGTATGCTAGGCTTTGCTATGATATGTTATGCTGCGCTATGCTGCGCTGTGATACGATATGCTATGATATGATAAGCTGCGCTTTGCTATGCTATGCTGTACTATGCTATGCTGCGCTATGAGATGCTATGATATGCTATGCTGCGCTATGCTATGCTGTGCTCAGCTATGCTATTTTATGCTATGCTATGCTATGCAGCACGGTGCGATGCTAAGCTAAGCTATGCTATGCTATGCTATGCTATGATGCGCTATGATATGCTATGCTATGCTATGCTATGCTGCGCTATGCTGTGCTATGATATGCTATGATCGGAGGTGAGGGGGTGAGATTGAAGTGGAACGGAGAGCCCCCCTACCGGGAAATCGACTTCGGTTTCGTGTTCGTGCGTGCCGTGCGGGCGAGGCGAAGCTGCGTGGGCGGGCGAGAAAAAGTCTCCTGTGGCTGAGGCGCGGCCGGACCAAATGATTCCCTTCCGGGCGGCCGGGGCCCCGCGGTGTCCCGCCGGTGTCCCGCTGGTGTCCCGTGTGGCTGAGGCGCGGCCGGACCAAATGATTCCCTTCCGGGCGGCCGGGGCCCCGCGGTGTCCCGCCGGTGTCCCGCGGTGTCCCGCGGTGTCCCGCGGTGTCCCGCCAGTGTCCAGCGGTGTCCCGCGAGGATGATGATGAGATGATGATGATGATGAGATGATGATGATGATGATGATGCTGATGATGCTGATGATGATGATCATGATGATGATGATGAGATGATGAGATGATGATGATGGTGTCCCGATGAAGATGATGATGATGATGTTGATGATGGTGTCGCTGATGAAGATAGTGTCCCGATGATGAGGATGATGATGCTCATGATGATTATGTTGATGCTGACGATGATGTTGTCCCGATGATGGTGGTGATGATGATGAAGATGATGATGATGATGACTCCGATGATGTTGGTGATGATGATGTTGATGGAAATGGTGTCCCGGCGATAATGATGTTGATGGTGATGATGTTGATGATGATTATGGTGTCCCGATGATGATGCTGATGATGATGATGGTGATGATGATGATGCTGATGGTGCCCCGATGATGATAATAATGATGATGACGATGTAGATGATGTTGCTCATGATGATGATGGTGCCCCAATGATGATGATGTTGTTGCTGATATAATGTCGATGATGATGCGATGATCATGATGATGATGGTGTCCCGAGGATGATGACGATGTTGATGATAATGTTGATGATGAGAACGATGGTGGTCATGGTGGTGTCCCGATTATGATGATTATGGTGATGCTGCTGATGATGATGACGATGACTGTGTCCCGAAGATGATGATGATGATGTTGATGATGAGATGATGATGGTGATGCTGTTGATGATGATGCTGATGATGATGTCCCGATGATGATGCTGACGTTGATGATGATGCTTATGATGATGATGATGATCCACGCATCCAAAAAGGTGTGGAGCTCCCCGCTCAATACAGCCTCCCGAAGCCATGGCCTTTCCCTCTGGCGCTGCGGACGCAAGGCCTGGCCCGTGCCAAGGCACACTCGCAGACTCGCCTGAAAACTAGAGGCCACGCCATCCGCCCCGGCCGAGGCAAGCGGAAGGCAGGGCACCGAGCATTCACGGCAACTCAGCTTGCTGGCTCTATGGCGGCACAGAGCAGAGCAAGCTGGGGCGCAAGAAGCGCAGACGCTGCCCAAGAGGGGCGGGAGGGAGTGAACCCTGGCGTGTGCCGAGCCCCACGGGGTACAGCCTACGCCACGGGGCCCCTCCCCCCCCAAAGGCAGCAGCTCGGCGCAGGCATTCGTGATCCTTGGACCCGCCTGCGACGCGAGCAGACACGAGCGACATCGGCAACTGGCAAGCAAATTGCCTCATCGGGCATCTGAGCGTCTAAGGTCTGGGGCGCCTCGAGTGGGACCCCGAGGAGGCAGCTGGCCGCTGCGAGGGCCAACCGCGAGGCTGCCGCCGCCTCCAGGAGCTCGCCTGCAGACAAGAAGCCTGTGTCGATGCCATCGCCGCTGTATCGATCCTCCACCACGAGGGACGAGAGCGAGCCATCGGATGCGCCGTCGTTGTGCTCGCCCGCGGCCGCTGGCGCATCCGAACTCATCGCGATGTACGCCTGCAACTGCTCCCTGAGCGTGGCGAGCTGGTCCCTCAGCGCATGCTCCGCAGCAGCCCAGCCTTCTCGTAGGGAGCGGATGTCCTGGGCCTGCTTCGCGACCAGAGCCCTGAACAGGGTGCGGTCCGACGCGGGGTGGTGCAACTCCCCCCTCAGCATGTCCAGCTGGTAGTCGGAGCCGAAACCGCGGCCCAGGTCCACGTCGGCGTTCGCGTCCCTGTGCTGCCTTGCGCCCCCCAGCTGCTGCAGGCGCGCCGCGTCCCGCAGATCCGATTCCAGCGCCTCCGCGAGCCGACAGGGGCTGCTCTCGAAGGTCCAGGCGACCCCAGTTGAGGCCTGGCTCAACCGCAGCCTGTCGGGCAGAGATAGCATGCCAACGGTCCGCACCTGGAGCACCTCGGGCAGCGGGGCCAACAGGGCAGCGGCAGGCTTGAGCGCGGGCCGCTGTGCCGCCTCGAGCCGCTGGCGCAAGACCCGCCGCTGGCGATCGAGGTGATCCTCGCCCCCCAGGAGCTCCGTCTGGACGCTGCCGTCCACTGCCACGGCGACGACCTGGTTCGCGAAGCTCACGATGGGGGGGCGCCGCCATCCCTCAGTGGCGGCAGCGCCGCCCAGCACTGGGCAGTCCATGGCACCGGGAGCCTGGCAGTGCTCGTCGGGTGCCTCACCGTAGTCGCCGAAGGGCAGCGCGGCCGCCTCCGGGAGCGAGGGCAGCCAGCCCAGGCGGGGGCCTGCCGCGGCTCGCGAAAGGCCCGCTGCGGACGCGCGCGCGAATCCGCCCGCAGGGACCAGCAGCGCGTGCCACGCGGCGTTCCGCCGCCGCCGCATTGCGCCTGGGACGCGGCATCCCGCGGCGGCTCGGCGCAAGGCGGGGCGCGCAGCAGCCTCCCGGTCCTGCCAGGAACCTGGGCCGCCGCTGGCCGCCTTGCCGACTGCCGCCGTGGCGGCGAGGAGGCGCCGCGCCCGCGCCCGACGGCGGGCCGCCGAGGCGCCTACCTCGGCCTCCTCCCTCCTGCGCAGCGCACTGCCACGCCTGGTGGGCCGCCCCGCCATCGCGCCTGCGGGCAGCCCCCCGTCGCCATTGCTCATCTCCCAGTCGCGCGCCGCTGACCGCTGCGCGTGGGCGCCTGCGAAAGTCCGGAGAAACAGCTTGAGCCAAAATGGCTACGGATGATGATGATGATGATGATGATGCTGATGATGATGATGATGATGATGATGATGATGATGATGATGATGATGACGGTGCCCTCATGATGATGACGATGTTGGTGATGATGTTGATGTTGATGATGTTGATGATGTTGATGATGTTGATGATGACGTTGATTGTCAGAGCGATTGTGATATCGATGGTGAGATCGATATTGAGACCGAATGTGAGATCGATTGTGTGATCGATTGTGAGATCGATTGTGAGATCAATTGTGAGATCGATCGAATGAGATAGATCGAGTGAGATCGATTGTGAGATCGATCGAGTGAGATCGATCGAGCGAGTCCGATAGTGATATCGATACTGAGATCGATAGTGAGACCGATCGAGTGAGACGTTGGTTCCCCCCAGAACCTCCTTATCACCCGAAGGGTGGTCGTATAGGTATGATATGCTATGCTATGCTATGCGATGCTAATGCTGCGCTGCGCTGCGCTAAGCTAAGCTGAGCTGAGCTGAGCTTAGCTAAGCTAGGCTAAACTAAGCTAAAATGAGCTAGGCCAGGCTAAGCTAAGCTAAGCTAAGCTAAGATAAGCTAGGCTAAACTAAGATGAGATAAGCAAAGCTAAGCTAAGGGGACGTAACTGGGGGAACCGCGGGGCGGATGCCAGGGGAACCGCCCGGGGCGGGGCCCGCTGCCCTGCCCTTTAAGCTTAGCGAGTAAGAACCCTTCTAGGCAGAGCCTAGGTAGGAAAAAAACTGGTCGAGGAAGCCCGAACAAACATTTGGCCGCAGATGTCCTCACAATCTGAACGCCAATAGACCAATGCAATACCGCCAGGCGGACCCCCTTTGAATGGACCAGGGCAATGCCTGCGCCAACGCACTGATCATGGGGCCCTCGAGAGAGGAGTCCGAGGAGCCAAAACGGGCCTTTCGCTTGCGACATCCTCGCAATCTGGGCGCCAACAGGCTCGTGTAACACCCCCTGGCGGCCCCCCCTTCGGATGCCGAAGTACATGACTTCTACATCGCGCTGATCATTGCGCCCTCAAACGAGAGAGGTCCGAGGCGCCAAAAACAGCGGTTCGCCTGAGACATCACCACGATCTAGGCGCCAGCGGGCCCGTGATTCACCCCCTGGCGGCTTCCCTTCCCAAGTGCCACGCCTGCTACGTCGCGGTGATCATGGGGTCCAAGAGAGACCGCCCCGACGCATCAAGAAGGGCGACTGGTTGATGGCATTCCTATCATCTGCACCCGAACGGTCCCATGTAACACCCCCCTGGCGGCTACTTCTTGGGATGCCCAAGTGCGATGCCTACTACATCGCAGAGACCATGGCGCTTTCACGAGAGAGGAGTCCGCGGCGCAAAAATTGGCGATCCGTTGGAGACAGCGCCATCTGCGCGCGAAGCGGCCAGTGTCACAACCCCTGGCGGTTCCCTCTCGGGATATGTACCATACCTGCTACATCGCGCTGCTCACGAGTAAGCAAGACTGAGTGAGCGGAGAGTATGCGTGTGAGTGAAACTGAGTCTGAGTACGAGTGAATATGAGTGCGAGGGGGTCAAATAATGAACGATTTGAGTGTTACTGTGCAAGTGGACCTTAATGTGAGTGAGTCACAGTGTAAGTGAATATTAAGGTGAGCGTAAGTGAGCCTGTAAACAAATTCATGTGTGTGAGAGAGTCGGAATTTGAGTGAGTCTGAATGTGGGTGACCTGAAAATAAGAAATACCGAATTCGAATCGTTGTGAGTATGAGAGGTATGAGTGGTATGATCATAAGTGGTTCTGAGTATGTGTGAGTCTGAGTGCGAGCGGGTCTGACTGTGAGCGCGCATGAGAAAGTCTGAGCAGTCTGCGTGAGTTGAGAAGACGGAGGCGTGACAGCAAAAGCAATAACCCTACACCATGGCACTCTGGTGCGATTCTCGCCTGACGTCATGAATCGAACTATAATTTGAAAGTTGATTCAGACATAGCGACGAGACGAGGATTCTCCAGGAGGCAAACACAAACCTCGATCCCCGACCCTCGATCGGGATCCTCCTTCCTACAGTATGGCACCGCCGACATCGCGAGGAACCAGGAGAGGTCATCGTGTTGATGCGGTCCCCCTGTCTCACGGCATCCCGCCCGAGACATCCCCAACCTCGGGCTCGCGGAGACATCATGGACATCCAGACTGGAGGCGTCCCGCTGGTGGTGGTGGTGTACTTCCTCGTTCTCTCGCAAAAGGGCTCAACTCCCCGCCCTGCCCAAAAAATACTCACCCCGCGCCCCTCCCGTGGTCCAGCCGTGACAAGGGAAACATCAAAGGTACCGATACCGCCACTCCCCGGACCGCTCCAGGGGTGCGTTCTGACAAGAATCCAACCAGCACTCTGGGCGTATGTGGTCTGACGAGATCTTTCTTTCCCCTTTCAAAAGAAATCCTCTTCCTCTCGGGGAGGGGTACCCTCCCCCTCCCCTCCAAAGGATTGTTTTGGGAGTTCCGCGAGCGGTCAGGGCATCCGAGATGGCCCAAGATGGCTCCAAGAGGGCCTCCGTTGCTCCAACATGGCCTCCAAGATGGCCCAATATAGCGCAAGATCGCTCAAGATGACCTGTATCATGTTTCCAAGAAGCCCCAAGAGGGCCACAAGACGGTTCCAAGTGCTCTCGGAGACCTCTCAGGACCCCTCCAAGAGTCCTAAATCCTTCAAAAATCAAAGGAACATGTATGAGCACTACCTTTTCGCCGTCTCGCTGCCGATGCGCTTTGGGGGCCTCAGGATGGCTCCAAGATGGCCCAAGAAGGACCCAAGAGGAACCCAAGAGGCCCCCAGGACGGCCCAAAGAGCGCCCCAAGAGGGTCCCAATAGGATCCCAAGAAGGTCCCAAGAGGGGGAGCGTCGATCGGAACCCCCCCTCCTTTGATCGATAGCCTCGAAGATGGCCCTAAGAGGCGCTCCAGGGCTCCCAAGAGTCCCAAGAGAGCCCCAAGAGGGCTCCAAGAGGGTCCCAAGCGGGCCTCAAGACTGCCCCGGACTCCCCTAGGGAGACCGAAGATGGTTCCACGATGCGATTTTGATGGCTCCTGAGGGGGGGGGGGCGACATCGAGGACCCCTCCTCATTTGATCGATGCTCTCCACAATGTCCCCAAGATGCCCTCAAGGGCCCCCGAGAGGCTCCAAAGAGGGTTCAAGACCCACGACCTGGCAAAAGAGCCCGCCGTCATCGTCGCGGCACTTGCCGGAAGGCCTCTCCAATCGATCGCCGAGACAGCCTCCTTGATGGCACAACGCTCTCCTCCCCCTCCTCTCCCTGCCCACTATGATTCACATGATGTTTCTATTATTGTCATTTCCTGTCCGCTCTCATGGGCTGGTCTTCTGAATGGGCTAGTGGGGATGCGCGAAACGTGAAGAATTTTGAAGCGAATCCAGCGGTGGCAACGAGGTCCTCCCAGGAGGCCCGAAACGGGGAAAACGAGGGACGCGTAGCAGTGTCGGTGCCTGCTTCCTCCCTCGAGTGGCGACGAGAAGCCTCCATGGAGGCCCAAAGAGGGCCGACAATGCCAGCAGCGCAGCCGCGGCCTTCACAGAGCACCGCGGCCTTCACAGAGCGTTCTGGAACGCTCTGAGAGCGTTCCGAAACGCTCTTTAACGGATTTATCCTTGTCCAATCCCCGTCGGACTCTCCCCCTCACGTGGCCCCCGAGAATATGGCCCGTTCCCCTTGACAAGCAACTCCTGGGAGGTCTTCGTCAAAACGATTCATTGCTATTGAACCCGATGCAAGGGCAGTTGAGCCGGATCAAGCTGAACTAGGCCCAAGACTCAACCAGATTGATCAGGAGTTAGCCGAGCTAGGCGGAATCAAGCCGGATAATGCGGGATTGGGCCAGACTAGGCAATTTTGCGACCAGGGGTACGGCAGTGCCGATGCAGAAATGAACCTCCCAAGAATTGCATCCCAAATCCCCCTCCCGTCCTGGGGGAATCGATGAGTACCGATACTGCTACTCCCTGGACCTCTCCCGGGGTGCGTTCTGACCAGGGGTTCGAAACGAATCCAGCCGTGGCGACGATGGCCTTCCAGAAGGCCCAGAAAGACGAAAACGAGGGAAGCGTAGCGGTACCGGTACCTCTTCCACAGACCTGTAGGTTGACACCAACACCAAGATCGGCGGTGAGCCTCTACCAAGGGAAGACGATCTCGATCTCGGTGATGGTGGTAAAAATTCTGGCTTCCAAGGTGACCGAAATATTCCCACCAACACCGAAATCTAGGATCCTCTTCCCCATGTGGAGGCAAATCCCTGTGCTGGAATTGGTGCCAATTTCCAGGCCTCCAGCTGCTCCTCCTCGGACCTCTCTTCCCCCCCCCCGCCCGCCGCAGGCCTCGGGAGCACGGAGCACAGGCCGCGGCGGCACGGCGGAGGGTCCGCCTGGCGCGGTGGGGGCAGGCGTCAAGCCAGGGGGGACGCTGAAGGGCGCTGATGAGACGGCAGCTCGTCTGGTCTCGGGCCGCCCTGGCGCGCGGGCCAGAGCACCCGCGCCAACGGTGAGCCCAGAGCCAAGCCCAGTGGCCCAGCAGGCACGGCACGCTGCCCGCTAGGACCCCTGCTGTCAGAGGCCAGCAGGAGCCATGGCAGGCAGCCCACGCCACCGCACTGGCCCCACGGCTCGGCGGACGAACGACAAAGGGGGATCCAGCGCAGCGACGAGGAACGCCGGCCCCAAACGCCTTCGGGGCCATGAGGAGGGGACAGCTTGTCGTATATAGAGGAGGGCGGGGGGGGGGAAGGGGGAGGGAAGGGGCAGGGAGGGGGGAGGGCAGCCAGGCGGGCGGGAGGGGGGCGGACGAGAGGCGTTGTGTACATCGACGAGAGTGGATGGGGAGGATGAGAAACAGAGGCACAGGGGTTTAGCAAGGTGAGCGGGGCCCTCGGATCCCGCCTGCTACCGTGCAGTGGGGGCACGTCGGAGCCCAAGGACTCTTACCCCAAAGGCCTCCCCGTGGTCGGGTAATGGCCAAGATGGCTCCAAGAGGGCCTCAGGGAGCCCAAGATGGCCTCCGATATGGCTCAAGATACCTCAAGATGAATCAAGGTAGCCCCCGACATACATCCAAAAGGCCTCAAGACGGCCCCAAGACGGTTTCAAGTGCCCTCCGAGCCCTCCAAGGACCCCAACAAGGGGCCAACTAAGAGGCTCCGCGAGGACCCTCAAAGAGCCCCCAAGACGGCTCCAGGAGACCTCCGACAAAACGTTTCAAATGCGGCTGTCACACTGCATGCTCCTGCACAGCCCTGGTGACGGCAACTCGCCTGGCGATCTGTTGCTGGATGAGCCTGTGGGGCCACGCGAAGTGACAACAATGTGAGAAAGAGGGGAAAGAGAAGGAGGAGGAGGAAGTAGGAGGAGGAGGAGGAAGTGGGAGGAGGAGAAGAACTCCCCTCCCAAAGGGGAGCACCGCGCGCGCTCGGGGGCACACGGCCGCCCGATCTCTGAGCAGCAGGAGCAACGAAGGCAGAGAAACCTCGAGCGAGAAGGAACCACGACCTTCACGCTGGATGCCAGCAGCGAGAAGCACCAGGGGAAACTATGGCGAACCACAGTCGCCTGTCTCTGGTAAACGTTTTGGAGAGACGACCAATCGCTATTAATGCCAACAATCATGATAATACTAACACAGATAGAGCATTCTGTAATCGTGAGAAGAGTACTGGTAATGCCATCAATAGCGATAATACTGGTATATACTGTGAAAGGAGTAAGAGTGCAAACGACACGTATACGCATAACCCATCGGAGTCTGTGGATAACCCCCACCAGTAGGTGGTACCACAGTATAGCGTCGGCGACCTTACTGAGGGACTGGGGTCCCACTAATAGCAGACCATAAATTATCATCCGCGGCACCCGCCGCGCAACAACGACGACGACTCCGACTACGATTGCGACCACGACTGCGATTGCGATGACGACTGCGACTACGACTACGCCTACGACTGCGATTACGACTACGCGTACGACTACATCCACGACTACGAATACGACTACAACCACGCCTACAACCGCAACCACATATTCCGAGTGCAACCCTCATGAGAAGATGCTCACACATCCTCTCGCGTGTCCATGATATGAAGATTTCCCCCAACTGTATTCAGCCCGCCCGACATTAGAGGGAAACTCATCTCCGCCGAAACGTCGTCGACTACGACTACGATTACGGCCGCGAGGAGGAGCAGCAGGAGGACGCGGAGGATGAGGAGGAAAAGGAGGAGGAGCAGGAGGAGGAGAGAGGGGAGGGACGAGTTTGATTCCCCGCCGAGAGAACTAGAGGGGGGGATCAAATCTAAAGACCATTCGAGAGCATTGATAATAAGAATAATCAATATAACTGACAACGACGGCGCACACAAGCAGGCCCGAAACCCAAAGAACACTACGACATAACGGCCCCCTCTCCGAGCCATTTCCCATGCGTCGTCCCATCCCTTCGGCGGTGGACTGCGCGGGGTGCCCCGACGCGGCGCAACGCTTGGAGGGGGGAACGTGCGCGCTGCGTCGTGCGGGCAGCTGCCGCGCGAACGCCCGCGCAACTGACCCTCTTCTTGCATGTCGCTCACGCGCCGGGCGTTGCCAAGAGTGTCCCTGGCCAGGTGCCCCCCAGGAAAGTCTGGGAGGCTCCGCCGATGGCCAGAACTTATTTAACGCTTCCTGGCAACTGTTGACGCTTCCTCAACTCTGGCTCTTGAATCGGTGAAAACATATTCACCGAAACGGACACACATGGCGCCAGAATCGGAGTGGGACGCAACAAAAAAACTACGTTGGAACTTAAACAACAAATGCGACGGAACCGGAAGCACTGACAGATGGAACTGAAGCAAACATGCCCCATCGCTTCCAGAGCCCACGCAGCTTCGGTAATCCCTGAATATGTGAACGGCGACAGCGAAAGGGTCTTGCGCGCAATGACACGGCGAGCTTCACCAGCGGCTTCCCCGGACCGCCGATGCGGCAGGCCGCTCACGTGGGAGGGAGGGCGATCACGCGCAACCCTGCGCGGGCAAGGCAAATTTCTGAAGCGCACCGGCGGAGGCCATGGCTGGACCCGCCTCGGAGCCCTGGCCAGCAGCTAGAACGCGCCCGAGGGCGCGTCACGAGCTCGATTTTGAGCAACACACGTGTACTTACCGTCAACGACTCTTGCACAAGAAGACATGGGAACCCAATGGCCAATGGCGCCCTGTTGCCGCCCTGTGGCAGCCCCGCTACCGCGTGGGCGCCCGCTGTGACCGGCTGCCGCCCCTCGCTGCCAGCCCTCTGCTCTGCCTCACCGCATAGCTTCACAGAGCTGGCCTCGCACTGCTCCGCACTGCTCTGCCCTGCCCTGCGCTACTCTGCGTGCGCTGCCCAGAACGCTGCTCTGCACCGCACTGCGCCGCGCACTCAGGGTGCACCTGGCCACCGCCTGGGGCCCGGCTCCCCTCCTGGCCTCCCGCTCTCCCCTCGTCTGGACGCGAGGACCCAGACTTAACTCGGGCCTGTCCCTCTACAGAGGGAATATTCCGAAATAGTCAAAACATAGTCTGGGGACTATTTTTTGTTTAAGCCATTTCTGAACATTTTTGGTGAATTCTTGGGGTATGTTTTATGTTTCGTCCAAAATCCTCCTGCAGGGGGACATGCCCGACCTAAACCCAGACCTCCGATGCCTCCTTTGGTTCAAGAAACGGTCCCCAGCGCTCTGGACCACTTCCCTGGGATCTTTTCTGCTCGCCCCGGCTCGGCTTTTGACGGCCCTGGGGCCCACCCAGGGTCCCCAGACGCCAGAAACGACCAGAGACCTGGATCTCGCCCATCGGGGAACTAAGCAATTCTAAAGAGAATTTTCTGAGAAACGCGCGGGTTTCTTGGATCGGCGCTGCGCCCCCCTCCCTGGCGCGCGGAGCCCGCCAGGGGTCCAGCGCCGATCGCAGAATCCGCGAGGAGCTCCAAAATTCCACGCTTGTGCCATTGGTTGCTTCTCGAGCTCTGTCAGTTGGGGACCCGCGGGAGGCGGTCGCAGCGCGCCGGCGAGCCCGAGAGCCGCAGTCCGCCTCGGGCTCCGCCGGGCGGGCTGCGGCGCTGGCGCATCGCCGGGCGAGCTCGTCGTGGATCTCGGCGCGGAGGTCCTCGCCGCGACGCCGGAGAGCGAACAGATGCGAACAGCGGCGACGAGGGCGAGGGCGACGAGGGCGACGAGAGCGACGAGGGCGCTAGTCGCGGCGGGACGGGCGCCATCGACGCCGCTGCCACGTCGAGGGCGACGAACGCGACGAGGGCGAGGGCGACGAGCCAACGGCGACGGCGACGGCCAACGTCGCCGCCACCGCCGTGGTGGACCTCGGCGCGGAGCTCGCCCGCCCCAGCATCGAGAGGATCGAGGTGTCTCGGCGCCCTGGGACCTCTTTGAGCCTCCTGGGGACTCCTCGTCGCCGCGGCAAACGAGGTCGGCCTGGAACTTCTGGCCCCAACGCACCCCCCCAGGATGTGTCCAGTACAGTTTGCCTTGCCCTCCTCTGACCTCAGCTCCCTCCCTCCCTCCCCAAATTTTCTCTCCCCTCCCCCCCCCCCGCCCCACGCAGAGTGCCGATGCCGCTGCTCCCGCGACCTCTCCCAGGGTACGTTCCGACACAACACACTGCCAACGTCCAATTGTTTGGATTGTCTGTCAGCGACCCCAGGCAATCCTCAGAACCGTTGATGAGTGCGCAAGGGGGGAGGCCCCCGTCAAGCCAACGGGCTGCGCTCCAGGTTTCGCAGGGAGGCCCCCCACCAGTGCTCCAGACTGTTCGTGCCAGGATGTGCTCCGGCCAAGTGTCAATAGTGCGATGCTGGGTGAGGTCTCCTAGTCCAGGGTTAATCGCAATGTCCACGCTGGGCATCACAACCTCGTAGCACGTCGACACATGATGCCCGTCTATCCACGCTTGCACATCCCCCTCCCGTCTTCTCCCAGAGAAAAGGCTAAATGCAAACATGGTGGTCCGATGGATGCGGCAAGGTACGTCGGAAGTAGCGAAGCCAACATAATCCTGTGGGCGATACCTCCAGTAGCGGTCGGCATATTGCGGGCCTCCCTGGAATGGGGTAACCTTGGGGTCCACAAAGAGGGCCTGGTACCGTTCATGGGCTTCCGTAGAGAGCCCGTAGCAGGCCTCTGGAGTGCGCGGGAGATCTCGGGCATCCTGGTCGTCAAAAAGCGCTGCGACAAGCATCGCAGCTGGGTACAGGCCGTCAGTCGGGGGAGCATGTCTGGCTGTGTAAGCAATGTGCCAACGCCCTAGACCTGCTTTATGCAGACGACGTAGGTCGTCAACCTCTAGCTGTCTGAGCTCCTTGGCCCTGTCTGCGCTGATTGTGGTACCGTGAAGAAAGTATGCCAAACAGCACTTCGGTGCATCAAAGGCGAGATGGTTGCGTAGGGCACGTCGGGTGGAGAAGGAGATGGGGCAAAACATACATATAGTACCTTCTCCCATGTAGCGAGACACAACGTGTACGAAACTGTAATGCGCACGTGCAATGTGCTGTCGTAGACTCTTGGCCGATGTACCCTGAGATACACACCACATGCACTGTAGGTCGGGGGTCGGAGCAGGAGTAGGAAATAGTGGGTGCCCTGGATCTGTAATGGGCACCGGTACCCCAGCCTGGCGTACCGTCTCGAAAACAGTGTCGGAGGCCCTCTTGGCAAGCTCTGCACGTGCTTGCGCCTTGGCCCTCGACCTTCGGCGGCCATACCCCAGCGGCCCTCGCAGCCGCCACCGTCGCCACCGCCGCTGCCGCCGTCACCGCCGCCGTCGCCATCGTCGTGGTCGTGGCTGGGGTGCCACGGCTCCTCGCCGGCGGCCCGCAGCCCGCGCAGGACGCCGCCGCGGCCGTCCTCCGCTGCGCCCTCCTCGCCGGAGGCCGCCTCGGAGCCTGCGGCCGGGGCGAGGCCGCCGCCCGCCAGCGTGGACAAGCAAGCCCGGGGTGGTAATCGGTTGAAGGGAGATCAGGCGGTCATTCCTGGAAATGGAAGGGATAAGGTTGGGGCTCGTGTTCGGGCCAAGGGGAAGTTAGAAGTCCGAGCTCGGGGGCGAAGGGGAGCGGGAATTCGAACAACACCTCTTGGCGTAGGTGGTCTAGAGCGGTTCCTCTTCCAATCCCCTTCCTCACCTTCGGGAAGGGGTTCACCCCTCCCCCTTACCCCCTTCCCATGGCGCGTCCAAGATGTCACAAGACGGTTCCAAAAGCGCCTGGGAGAGACAAACAAAACCTTCAAGATGGCTCAAGATAGCCCAAGAGGCCTCAAGATGGCTCCCAAGACGCCCCAAGAGGCTCCAATAACGCTCCAGGATGGCTCAAGGTGACCACGGAGCCTCCCCACGAGGCTGCCGAGAGGCCCGAATCATTCCCAAACGTACGCAAGGAACATCCATGGTTGTTGCTGGCTTGCCTTCTCGCTTCCGATGGCCTTCTGAGGCCTCAGGATGGTCCCAAGATGGCCTGAAAAGGCTCCAAGAGGGGCCCGAGGAGGCCTCCAAGACGGCCCCAAGCGCGCCAAAGAGCGCTCCAAGAGCGCCCCAAGAGGTGATGTGTTGGGCTCCCGGAGGGGGACCCTAATTGAAGCTCCCCTCGGTTTGGATCGACTGCCAAGATGGCTCCCAGAGCGCCCATGCAGCTCCCAAGAGCGCCCCAGGACCCCAAGAGGCGCCGAGACGGTTCCAAGAGAGGGCCTAAAGAGGCTCCCAAGAGACCCAACCACCAAGATGCCTCAAGAAAATCCCTGAGGCACCCAAGACGCTCAAAGACGGCCTGGGGCCCGCCGAAATGCCCCCCAGACGCTCCAAGAAACATCCAAAAAGCATCCAAACAACATACGAGGAGACTCCGAAAGGCATTGGGGAAACTGTGGTTATTCTGTTCGCCTTGTTCCTCCTCATCCACCTCCTCCTTTTCCTCCTTTTCCTCCTCCCTCCTCCTCCTCCTCCTCCTCCTCCTCCTCCTCATCATCATCATCATCACCATCACCATCATGATTATTATCCTCCTCCCCGTTTTTGTCCACGTTGTCCTCCTCCTTTTTCCTCCTCGCCACCTCCTCCTCCTCCACCTCCTCCTCCTCCGATTACACATCCTTCTCGACGGTTTCTCCATATTTGTGCTCCCCTGTGCTCCTTCCCGACGTCTTTGGTCGCGGCAACTCGTCTTGGCATCGTCTCTGGATGGACTGCCCTTCTCCTACTCCTCCCCCCATCCGCCTATTCCACTGCATGCTGCTCCACATCCCTGATCCACGCAACTCTCCTGAGCGTCGTTCCCGGACGGGCTGGCGGGGTTACTTCTCTGATTGCGGCCGCGCGACAACGGTCTGGCGGCGAGAGCAGTGTCCGGGGCAGCGGCACAGTTCGAATTAGCGACCGCAGCAGCCAGGATGACAAGCCGAGACGCGCACGCAGGTTGGCATATGCACATGCGCAATACAAAATGAACAAATTCTAAGCTACGGAGCGAGTCGCCGGATCGGCGCCAAACTCCGAGCAACGCTCACGCCTACCGGCGGGCTGGAAGCGGGCAAAACATGGAAAACAAAACATGCGGCCCTCGGGCGGCTGAACCGCTCGAGGCGCTGACCTCGGGCTCCGTACCCAGCCGCAGTAGCCCGCGATGGCCCGGAGCACACCCAGCCTGGCGACCAGACGGGAAAGACCGTCTAACGGCAGAACCGGCGCGGGGAGTACCCCAGCCAGAACGGAGAAGCTGGCCACTCAGAACCGCTCAGATCACGAAGTGTGCGGAAAGCTCCTGCCGGGAGTGAGGGGTGCAGCTGACCGCCGCAGAAAAGAGTAAACACCACACGCTCATCACGCCGAGTTCACCTGCGCTGTGAGGGGGTGCCGCTGACCGCCGCGGAGCACCGCTGCTGTGGGCAAACTGCACCAACAACTCCAAATTCTTCGATGCGCAACTCCCGTGCCGGCGGAGTCCGCGACGTCCAAGCGTCGGCTGGTGGGGTTACGCGAAGTACTGTTGAAGCGGTTAATATTACAGTAATAATTCCCTGAACAATTTTTCCGGTAATGTAATGGGCGTGCGTGACTTTCTGGTTGGATTTGTTTGTTCAGGAAGGTGGGTGGATTCTAAAAGGGAATTAACAGGAGTTGGGGAGGATTTGGGAATTGGGGGGGGTTACAAAGGAAAGAGCAGGAGTTGGGAAGTTGGGACCCGGCGATGATTCTACAAAGGAAAGAGCAGGAGTTGGGGGGGATTCTGGAATTGGGGAGGATTCTACAAAAGGAAAAAAGGAGGAGTTGGGGAGGATTTGGGAATTGGGGAGGATTCTACAAAGGAAAAGGAGGAGTTGGGGAGGATTTGGGAATGGGGGGGGGTTCTACAAAGGAAAAAGGAGGAGTTGGGGAGGATTTGGGAAGTGGGGAGGATTCTACAAAGGAAAAAGGAAGGGTTGGGGAGGATTTGGGAATTGGGGAGGATTCTACAAAGGAAAAAGGATGAGTTGGGGGGGATTTTGGAATTGGAAATGATTCTACAAAGGAAAAAAGTAGAGTTGGGGAGGAATTTGGAATTGGGGAGGATTCTACAAAGCAAAAAAGAGGAGTTGTGGAGGATTTGGGAATTGGGGGGAGGGGGGGCTTCTACAAAAGAAAAAGGAGGAGTTGGGGAGGATTTTGGAATTGGGGAGGATTCTACAAAGGAAAAAGGAGGAGTTGGGGAGGATTTTGGAATTGGGGAGGATTCTACACAGGAAAAAAAAGAGCTGGGGAGGATTGAGGAATTGGGGATGATTCTACAACTCCCTCCCCAACTCCCTCCTTTTCCTTTGTAAAATCCTCCCCAATTCCCAAATCCTCCCCAACTCTTCCTTCATCCTTTGTAGAATCCTCCCCAATTCCCAAATCCTCCCCAACTCTTCCTTTTTCCTTTGTAGAATCCCCCCCAATTCCCAAATCCTCCCCAACTCCCTCTTTTTCCTTTGTAGAATCCTCCCCAATTACCAAATCCTCCCCAACTCCTGCTCATAATTTCTGTAGAATCCTAATCGTGAAATCCCCCCCCCAACCCCGCTGACGTCATTACAGGGCGCAAAAATAATTATCGAAACGATTTTTCCGGTAATGTAATGTTTTTTGCCCCTGCAGTACCCAGACTTCAGATATGACTGAGTTTGGTCCACATAAACAACGTTCGAAACAACAGGTTCGAGATTGGAAAGTGTGGAAAGTTCGGGGATGCGTCGGGACAACTTCGAAACAGATTGGGGAGTTCACGCAATGGTCAGAGCCGCTCCTGCTGCACGGATCGTCTTCGCCACCGAAAATCATCCAAGCCTTTCCCGATGTTCACGATCATTGGAACGTTACACTTGAACGTTACATTGGCCTCCAACTTTTCCTGGATTTGATTATTTGAAAGAGCGTCTTCTGCCGCTGCTGGCAGAAATGCGGGGAAAGTCACTGGGGGTTTCCAAGCCGTCCCCCCGCCCCCCCTCGAAAACGGGGGAAGGGGGTCCCTACCAGTTCGAAACCACCCCGCCACCACCCCTGGTCCATCATGAAATGGGGGGTCACTACCGGTTCAAAAGCCCCTCTCCTCCTCGTCGCAGGAAAAATGATGGGGACAGTGGGGACAGTGGGGAGAGTGGGACCGTGGTGGCGATATGGGTGGGAACAGTGCGGACAGTGCGACAGTGGTGGGGGCACTGGTGGGGACAGTGGGGACAATGGTGGGAAGAGTGGGGACATGTCACGCAGTGGTGGGGACAGTGGGGACAGTGCGACAGTGGTGGGGACGGTGGTGGTGGGGACAGTGGTGACCGGACAGTGGGACCGTGGTGGGGACAGTGGGGACACTGGTGGGGACGGTGGTGGTGGGGACAGTGGTGAGGGCGGCTTTGAGGACGATGGTGGGACAATGGGACAGTGGTACAGTGGGGAGAGTTGTGGGGACAGTGGGGATAGTGGGACAGTGGTGGGGACAGTGGGACAGCACAGTGGGACAGTGGTGGGGACAGTGGGGACAGTGCGACAGTGGTGGGGACAGTGGGACAGTGGTGGGGACAGCGGGGACAGTGGGAAGAGTGGGACCGTGGTGGGGACAGTGGTGGGGACAGTGGGGACAGTGAGACATTGGTGAGGGCACTGGTGGGGACAGTGGGGACAATGGTGGGCACAGTGGAGACAGTGGTGGGGACAGTGGGACAGTGGTGGGGACGATGGTGGTGGGGACAGTGGTGTGGGGACATTGGGACAATGGTGGGAACAGTGGGGACAGTGGGACAGTGGTGGGGACGGTGGCGGTGGGGACAGTGGTGAGGGCGGTGGTGAGGACGGTGGTGGGACAATGGGACAGTGGTACAATGAGGAGAGTGGTGGGGACAGTGGGACAGTGGTGAGAACAGTGTGACAGCTCAGTGGGGCAACGTTGGGGACACTAGGGACAATGAGACAGTGGTGGGGACAGTGGGGACAGTGGGGAGAGTGAGACTGTGGTGGGGGCAGTGGTGGGGACAGTGGGGACAGTGCGACAGTGGTTGGGGCACTGGTGGGGACAGTGGTGGGGACAGTGGTGGGGACGGTGGTGGGGACAGTGGTAAGAGCGGTGAGGACGGTGGTGGGGACCCGGGAGTCGTTTGCCGGCGGCGAGTGTGTGGGGGGGGGTCGAACCAGTAGTTACCCCCCCCGGTCGGTTTTCTCGAGGGAGGGGGAGGGGTTCGAACCGGTAGTGACCCCTCTCCAGTTTTCCGGAGGGGGGGGGGTTTGGGGGGGGGCTGCCGGGGGGAAAGGGGACGGGTTCGAGCAGTGGGGGGGGAATTTCGGAGAGGGAAGGGAAGGGGGACCCCTGGGTTCCAGAGGAAGAGGGGGAGCATTTTTCAAAGTAAAGCGGCGGTGGTTCACGCTCTCTCGATTATTAAAACAAACGGTCCTATGCACCCCCCCTTCTTCCTCGTCCTCGTCCTCCCCTTCCATTCCTCCCTCATGAATGACTCCTTCCTATCGCAACCCGAGGCCAGTCGGACGGGCTCGCCTGAGGCTTCCTCATCAATTGTGAGCCTGAAGCTTAGAAATTGGATTAGCGCCGCGCGCACTCGTCTTAAACATTTGCAACAATTTCACGGGCTGAGATCTGATCTTCGCGCGAGGGGAAGGCAAGACGCCGAGCAGCGCGAAGAGTGGCATCTAGCCTCGCACAGAGACCCCCCTGGACAAGAGCGCCGCATTTCAACCTGGATATGGTAGCAGGCGCACGCGCAAGTCGGCATTCACCGAGCTGACAAGATTATAAACATCTCCGTGGGAGTCTGTGAGATCCACGTCCATCCTGAGATGGTATGGCCTTTATCGTGTAGGTTCTTCGGGCGGTAGAAGACTGGCGCTCCAAATGAGTTCATCGTGCTGCTCCTTCTTTCTCCTCGCCCCCCTGTCTCCGTGCCCGAGAACTTGCGAAGCTCGCCCTCAACGCAGTCATCAAATATTTCCCAGGCGTACATCATCACAGACCATGCCATCTTAACGCAAGCATTCGTGCAGGATGCCTCGGCTTAGAACACCCCGCGGCGTAAAACGAGACGCCAGGTCCGAAGAGGCTTGACTGTCCAGCTAGTGTCCGCGTTGACTTCGTGAGCGATGCGATGCGCACCAGGGCCCATGACGAAAACAAGTCGAGGATCGGTTCTGGCGGCGGCGCACGGCATGTCGGAGCCAATGGTGCTGTTCTGATCATGCCAAACTTCCGCGGGGAGCCTGGACGTTCCTAAACCTCGGAGGTCAGATTCCAGTCTGATGGGCCTGTTTTCCACCACCACCACCATAAGCTGGAGGGGGGAAGGAGGCGGAAGATGAGGAGGCGGAGGAAGAAGAGGGGGAGGAGGACCCCTTCCCCCCTCCAACGTTTAGTGGTTGCAGGTGAACTGGGGCCGTGATTGGGCCTGCCGATCTGGCCTCGCCGAGGCCGCCCGCAGGGTGGAGGGTTGCAAGACACAACAGGGTATCCAGGAACATCAAGGAGGACAAGCCGAGAACGGTGGGCGCTAATGTGCCCTTCTCGTGCCCCCACCCCCCCTCCACCTGTGCATGCGACCCTGCTCGCCTCACTCCCCTCCTAGTAAATTCCCCCCTGTGCTCCTACTCCTCCTCATCCATCTCTTCATCCTGTCCCCCTCCTCATGTTCATCCCCATGCTCCGCGTCCTCCTCCCCAATCTCAAGGTCGGCGGCACCGGCTGTAAGGCCTACACAATCGAGGAGGATAAGCCTAGAACGGTGGGCGCGAATGTGCCCTTCTCTGTCTGCCACCGTCGCCCCACGACCGACCGAGCAAACGCTGCGACGTCAGAGGGGAGCTCTCCAGTGTCGGGATTGCGTCGGGCAGGACAGAACAAGGAGCGCAGACCCATCGACCTTGCGGAACTGGTGGCCTGGCCTACGAACTCCTCGCTGACTCCGACCTCCTGGGCGGACGAAACAAAAACGTCGGTCTCTGCCAAAGGTCGGAGCAACGCGCGCCATGAGGAGCCGTTAATAGCCTCGACGTGCAACTTTGCATCTGCATCTTGCAAGGTTGTATCGGGGGCACCTCTCAGAGGGAGCTCTGGGAAACCTGACGCAGACCACGGAACCCCCGATAGCAGTGGCACCTCCAGACCGCGCATAGTGTCATCCGCACTTGGTTTTGTGGCCTTGATGCCCACACCACGAACATGGTTTGCAAACGCACTCCGATGGTCCCCCCCCGCCTAACAAGCAGCTGCAAACAGTAGGTTAATTCTTCCTGAGTAGAGGTCGTCCACATCCATATCGACGGGGCCTCGGGCCTCGGAAAGCCTTGGAGACGGGGGTGCGGAGCCCCTGGCCCCTCCGAGGCGGCAGCAGCAGGAGGTCCAGGTCCGAAAGGGGGTGAGTTGCTGACCTGCTACAGAGGGCGGGAAATCCCCCCCCGTAGTAGTCGCCCCGACAAGCGAAGCCGATTAGTAAATGCACCCACGGAAGGAATCGAACAGGGCAGGGACGTTGAGTAAACGCCCAGGGCCGTTTGGTAAACGTCAATCGTCGGGTCCGAGTGTTTGTTCCTCCCTTGATACTTGGCCGGCAGCTCCTCGTATTGTACAGAGACGGGCGACACAACGAACTGCTGCACCTCCTGCGGGGCGGCTGTAAGGTCGCCGGGGCTGAGCTCCTGCAAGGTATCTCCTGCGGGGCCACCTGCTGCCTCGTGGTGCGCAGCTCTGGGAGGGAAGACAATGCACACCCATGATAATCACGCCGACAAGCGAAGCCGTTTAGTAAACGCGCCCAAGTGGGGAATCGAACAAGGCAAAGCTGTTTAATAAACGCCGAAGACCGCTTAGTAAACGTCGATTGTCGGGTCCGGGTGGTCTCGATGTCGATCTCGGCTGCCTTGAGCTCAACCGTGTAGGACTCGATGTCGATCTTGGCTGCCTTGATGTTACCACAGATCTGGGCCAGATAACCCTGGGCAGCAACAGCAGCCTTCAGCTGGGCGAAACGCTCGTCGTCCAGCGGCCCACGAGCCCAAGCGCCGCGAGTAGCGCCAGCACGAGGAGCCTCACCACCTGGAGCCGCCTTGCTCGCGTTCTGCTTTGCGCGCTGGATGATGGACTCGTGGGCTGCCTTGCCGCGCGCGCAGCGGACCCGGCACGCCCAACTCTGATTGCGGCCGCACCCTGGACATCGCTACGTGGGCTCACGCGGTCCTGCAAGGACTGAGCCGCCATCGCGGGACATGCAAAAGACGAAGGTGCACGCACCGTCGCAGGATCAGCGATGGGATCGGGGTCACCTGACAAGGTGAAAGCTGGCCGCGGATCAGCGGTATTCGCTTGCTCCCCTGTGGAGCCTTGCATCTTGAGCCAAAGTGGCAACGGCAAGTAGAGGAAAGTGGCGTAGAGGAGGGGAAGGGGAGGGGAGCAGGAGTGCATCTTGAGGGTGGGGAAGGGAAGGGGAGGTGAGTGGGGTAGTGCATCTTGAGTCAAAGAGCGAGGGGAAGTAGAGGAAAGTGGCGAGGAAGGGCAGGCAGAGGACTGCGGCGGGAGCACCCAGCGGCGGAGGGTGAGGAAGAGGACAACGACACGACGGTAAGACGATGAGCAAGATGACGATAGGCAGTGGGCAAGATGAGCGGAGGAGGACACACGACGACAGACACAGCGGGTGCAGCTCAACCTCAATACAAAAAACGGTACAGGAAGCAGGACGAGGGAATTGAGAAAACAGAGGAAGAGAAAGATCTGCCGCTTGGAGGCCTCTTGGGCTACCTCTGGAGCCCAGTAAGCAGCAAGGGCGGCATGTAGTGGGAACAAACAACAGGTACGTGGGAGCTGCACGGCAAGACTGCGCAAGAACGACTGCACAAGACGCCCGCCGTGCGCGCCTGCGTGCGTTGTCAGCACGAGCCACATCGGGTCCTCGGTGACTGGGTCGATCGCAACCATCAAACCTGCGGGTGGACCGCTGCGCTTTGGGCTGACGCCGCCTCCAGCTTTCCTCCTCCTCTCCTCCTCAACTCGCCACTCCGCTCCCCAACTCCTCAACTCCTTCACCCCTCACTTCTCATTATCATCATCCTGCTGCTGGCTGACGCCACTGCCGCTGCATCTCCTTCTGCACCAAAGCATACCCATCCTGCTGCTCCACCTTTTGCTGTTTCTCCTCCTCCACTCTTCCCCTGCGGATGTCTCTTATCCTTTGCATGGCCCTTCCTCCATGTTGAAACATTTTGCTTAACAGAACGAACATGGCCGTGATGGAGACAGGTCGTGGCAATGGGGCTTCCTCTAATATATCGAAAGTTATGCCGGTCCTGTGGTACAGGGAGGGCTCTGGGAGCCAAAAACGTGGCAAACCTCCAGGATGCCTTTTCCCCAGAACCCCCTTCCTTCATGGCGAATGTTGCCCCTCCGATCGACCGCGGATGTACATCGAGTTCCGGAAGAGCCAGCCCTGTTTGCTCCGGTTGACCGCCTCGGCGAAGAGCGGGCTCCCCGTGGAGTGCGAGTTCCTCATGGCGGCCAGCACCTCTGGGTCCGTCTCGTGCTCGCACCCTGGCATTGCAGCCAGTGTCCCCAGAGTGAGAGAGAGAGAGAGGGCGCGCCATGCCCTTCAAGATTCGCTTACATGCGAAATACATGTTGGAAAATGTAGTCTCACTGCAGTCTGCGCACAGACATTGCGCGCGGCATTCATTTTACCACGTCTCGGCGCCCCCTTGTCACGGTAGAACCAATCTGCCCACGCCGCTGGCTGACTTGCAACCCACGGCAAGTTTATGGCGGAAGATGCGAACGAAAACACGGTGGACAGCGTTTCCCAATATCGGATCTCCAAGTTTCCCTTTTCGGAGCCAGGAGACACCAAACGCTACCAGCGACGAAACACCAGTCTAGGGCATTCGCTCTACATCCCGTTGCAGAACAATCGCGACGACGGAGGTCTGGGAACGTCCCAATGGATTGATCCAATCGAAGTAAATACATGAAAGACACGATCCAGTGAACAGAAGGGAAACATGTATCCGTCCACCACCAGCTTTGGGTGGGCACGACCTCCTGGCCTGGTCAGAATCACATCTCACCCAAGACCTCGGGCAGCGGGGACTTGGTGGCACTGAATACTTGCACTCCCCCGTTCCACCCAAACTGGCAAGTCCCAAGTACGTCTGTGCAGCCACCCGAACTGCCCCTCCCCCCCCCCGAGTGCGATGACGAGGAGACGGAGCACCAGGACGCAGGACAAACGGCGAAGGCGGAAAGAAGAATATCCTGCCGATCTTCCGCTCTCGCTCCTGCCCCGTCCTGCTCCTCCTCCTCCTCCTCCAAATTCTCCTTGCCTTGCCCCTCCTCCTCCTCCTCCTCTTCCTCCTGCTCCTGCCCCCTGGGTGGAAGAAATGGGAGTGGAGCGCGGGATGGCAGCAGGCATCTGCATGCATGGCGGGGCATAGTCCAGCTGCGCACAGCATACTTCGTGCCCCTCAGCCATTTCCCCAACACCTCCCGCCGTCCCCTGGGGGGAGAGAAAGTGACCAAGATACCGATGCCGCCCCTCCGCGGACCTCTCCTGATTAGGTCGGGGGCGGCCAAGAGGGGGGCGTCCAAGAGGGGGGGGTGCAAATCATGGCCGGCGGCATGTGCGCGGCCAAAGGGCGGGCCAGGGACGTAATGAAATGAGAAGAGGCGCCATGGAATCTGGGGAAACATCGTGGCCCACGCCATGACATCCACCCCCCCCCTATCCATCGCCCCCCTCTTCAGCGCCTCCGACTGGGGTGCGGTCTGACCAGGGCTACGCCCGCGCGAGCGCAGCCGCTGCGACGGGCGTGAACAACGACCCCCTCCCCTGGGAGCGGCCTGGGCCGGACCTGGCGGGCGACCGCCCGGCGGAAACTGCGCCCCTCCCCAGGGCCCCCCCATCGGAATACCGAGGCACGGCAACTCGCCGCGCAGCCGCCCCAGCAGGACGGGGGGCTCGATCCACCTCCGACCCCGCCCTCTCGCCAGCCCCAATGGCCCCTCAGAAGACGCTCCCGGGAGCCTCTCGTGATCAGCTGAATGGCCGCAGTGGCTCCTCCAGTGGCCACCAGGTGGCTTCCAGTGGCCCCCCCGCGAGCCTCGAGCGGCCTCCAGTGGCCCGCCCGTGACGACTGCGGACCACTGGAGGCGTAGGAAACCCAGACTAAGACTAAGGGACAATAAAGGGCTCCCAAGATCGTATTCTGAATGCCCCTGTTGGACAGCTTCCTCGCCGCGATGCCTTCGATCAGAAGCCTGGAGGACGCCTGAAGCAGCTCCGACTCGTGGTATCCTCGCGCGCGGGTGGCGGCCCGAAGTCCTGGCCTGTGCCTGACCTCGCCCTTCGCACCGTGCGAAATTGCACAATATGCGACGCGCCCACGCGGGAACCCCAAACCATGCAAATTTATCTGCGGCGCTGACGCGAGAACGACATTTCACAATCATTCGCGCGATGTGCGCCGCGCTCCGTTCCAGCCCCGCGTTTTCCAACGCCGACGATAGTGTGTCCATAGAGAAACGTAACTTTTGCAGTGCTGACGGGTAGGAAGGAAGGGCCCACATGGGGGACCTGTCGGGGCGAACGCGAGCGAGGTAGGAAACTGTGACAACAAGGCGTAAGGGCAGGACTTATAGTATACGTAGGGGCGCATACTTGGAGTAGCAGCGGGGGTCGAAACAGACAGCTCGAACATCAAAACGGACACCGTCCACCTTCCCGCTCTCCCTCCCGAAACATCGTGAACCCACGTGGACAATTCTCAGAGCGGCCGATCTTGAGTGTGAGCTCCCATGCGAAGTCAGCAGGACTGAGGACGCGCCTGCCCAGACAGGGTAGGCATGCTGACGTGCGCGCAACATAGGAAGAAAAAACGACATGAGAGCACACACTGTCGGACGTCCGCGCGGATTTCTTCGATCGGCGCTGGTCCCCGCTCCCGGCGCACTCCGCGCGCCGGGGGCGGCGCTAGAGGCGCCGCCAGGGGTCCCAGGCGCCCATCCAAGAAATCCGCGCGGACCTCCGGAAAATTCATGCTTACGCCGCTGCGTCTTCTTCGATTGCAATGCGGAGTCCACGCGGCACGGAATTCACGTCGAATGGCGATGATAAGTTCACAACGGAGGGTGGTGACCTTCCATCGGATGGGTCGCATTCACATCGGAGAGCATGGCCCAGTTGTGGCTGCGAACACACACGCAAGAAGGAAAGCGGGGCTGGCACCGCGCTCACGAGCTTGACTGCTAAGAAGTGTCCGTGCACTGCCGTCGAGCCGCCCTTGTAGTCTGCACGTAGTGGGCGAAACGAACCCAGGTGGAGTGTGACGCTGGGGTATCGGACACACCGTCGGGGTTCACGTGGCTACAGTCATCATTCCAATGCTGTACCTCCGCTGGCGTTCCAAAATTCGGACATGCAGGGCTAGGGTTCACATTTAGCTGCCGGACTTCGGCGGTTCCCGCGCACTGTGGACCCCATACGCTGTAAACGCAGCACTGGCGTCAGAACGATTGGCTGCGACGGACGCCACCATTAGAAAGTCGCCTTGTGTTCAGGCACGTTGTGAAGGCTGGATCCCAGTCCTGCCGCGTTTTCGGAAACGTCACCGACACAGCTGCGCGTATGAACCGTATGTTTAAGTCGGGCCTGTTATCCTACAAGGGGATTTTGAACGAAAAATGAAAAATATTCAAAAATGCCCCCAAATTGTCAAAACATGCTCAAACATAGTCCCCAGACTGTTGTTTTAACTATTTTTAAATATTCCTCCTGTAGAGGGACGGGCCCGACTTAACCGTGTGTCTGTCTTGCTGGTGCGGAGCGGACCCTCCCACGCCCGCTGCTGAGATCGCCCTGGACGGGCAGGCCACGAGGTGACACGGAAACAGGGCGGGCATGTGGCGGAGGCGGGGGGAGGAGGGGAAGAGGATGAGCAGGGCGAGCCCCAAAGACGCACATCCCGTGCACACAGTCGCGGCGACGGCGCGGGCGATGATGCCACCTGCAAGCTGCAACTTGAACAGGGCTCGCCATGAACAAACATGTTCTGCTTTCATTGTCCCTCATTACGTGAGCGTTCCGCCTTTGCTGCAAAACGGATTCGACACGAGAACGGTCCACGACATCACAACAACACAATTCAGCTCGAGCCTGCTTGAATGGTGGCTTGACGTCCCGCTACTGCTGGCGCTCATAGCCGCTGGGTTTTACAACATCGGTGCAAGACAAGATCGGGGGTGGTAAGATTAGGAGTCGGGAGGGTGCTACTGAACCAGATCCCCTTCCGCCAGGAAGGGTACGGCTGGTGAGATGCGCTTGGCATGAGGGAAGCTGGTGATGCGGGACACGGGCCCTGGACCCCAAGGCTTTCTCTCAGGCCACCTCTTCACACGGAGCTCGGGGAGAGCAACAGGCGAAGAACAATCTCAAAGACCCCCTTCAACTCCAGGAATCCGCTCTCCGTCATGCTGAGACCCCCCTCACCCTTCTCCTCCACTGTGCGCCCCTTTCCTTCGGCCCCTCTCGTCGGGCGCCCCCCCTCCACTATGAGCCCGAGCAGTGGGTCTGGCGCAGATGGGTCCGCGGGGAGAGGTACGATAGTACTTGCAATAGTTGGCACCTGCATGCTATCCTTTGCGTGCTGGATTCGCTAGATGCGCATGGATGCACTTGCGTATCTGCTCTTATATGCAATCGTTGTCGCCCGTGCCCATCGATCGCGCACCCTCCCCCCCCCGACAACAGTTGCGTGCCATTGTGCGCGCTTTGTGCGCTAGCGCACAACTCATGAACGATTGTACCCCTCCAATCAAAACCGATAGCAAGGATGCACAATACGGATGCAAGTGCCCTGGAAGGCCATGCCGACACTTTTCGAGCACGACGCGGCCAACGAAAGTGGCCAAAGATGGGCCGAAGGGAAAGGATGCAAGGGCACCCTTGGAAAGTCGCTCATCCTTACTAGCAGTGTTGTCTGTACTCCAGCTTAGAACTTCTGCTAGAAGTGCCCCTGTCCCAAGGCGCCCCCATGATTTCCACGGATGCCCCCACGGCCTCCAGTGCACCCCTCACGAGGCCCAGAGGACCCCAGGGGCTCCAAGATTGAGCGAAAAACTGGGGGCACCTCGGGCCAGGGCCCCGCGGGGCCGCCATACCGAGGCGCCGACATCGCACCGCCGGCGCTGCCCTGCCGGGCACGACGCGGGCGCTGGCTGGCCCCTGCCACGGCGTGGACCGTGCCTCGCGCGCCCTGCTCTGCCCAGGCGCGGAGAGCGCTCCGGAGCCGGCCCGGCGCGGGCCGGCCCGTGGCCTCGAGCCTGCTTCAGCGGCGTCGACGGCGTCGCCGCCGCGTCGGCATGTCACGATGGCTCGGAAGCGGTGAGGAAGCGAGACTGCCCACGGGCCAAAGCAGTCCCGTGCGAGCCAGCCTTTTCGGTCACGAAGTGTTTCGGCGCTTCGGCGCTAGAAGGAAATCATCATAACCATCATCAGCATCACCATCATCACCATCATCAGCATCATCAGCATCATCAGCATCAGCATCAGCATCAACATCAGCATCAGCAGCATCATCAGCATCAGCAGCAACATCATCATCATCATCATCAGCATCATCATCATCCTCATCATCATCACCATCACCATCATCATCAACATCATCAGCATCATCTGCTCTCCTCTCTCGCCCGCTGCAACCGGGAGATGAGGAGCAGGAGAAAGCACACCCAGGTCCACGCCGCAGAGGGCGCGGACATATCTGGGCGCGCCCGCGCCGCCCGCCTCGAGAAGAACGCGTCTGGCCACCACCGCGAAGAGCGGACATCTTCGCGCCCCTGCGGGTAGGGACAAGGAACGGCGACACCAACACCACCGGAGCGAGGAGATGCGAGGAGGCAAGGGGGGTCTCTCTGGTGGTGTGGTCCCCCCCTGTCGCTCGAGACATCCCTGGCCTCCAGCTAGGGGAGGCGTCGTGGACCTCCTCGCTGGAGGTGGGCCCCCTGGTGGTGTTGGTGCCGCTTCTCTGCCCTCCGATGCGGGTGACCTGGAGAGGAGAAGAAACGGCAGAAGCCTGGAGCGGCCAGGTCCACTTGGAACCCTACTGGCTCGAAGCTAGACGTGCTTCGACTGGGTACAGCGTCGCCAAACTCGCTGTATATGGACTCGGCGGGGACCGACCACAGGGCAAGCCCAGCCCTCGCGCGTCCTGACATCTCCTGGAAGGACTCCGAGACTGCGAGCATCTGCTGGTTAGGGTCTGTGGGGTCCATCAGGGATGCCGCGTGCGCGCTGTTCTTCACCACGCCCTGGACGATTGACATGATCTCGCCTGCCCAACTCCTCGTCCCGCCTCCCTCCCCCCTTCCCCTTCTGTTTCTTCATCCCATCACCCCATCAACACACTCATTGCCGACTTCCACATCCCCATCATCTCTCTTTGTTGTCTGCTGTGTTGTTACGTCTCTCTCTATCGGCCTCTTGTATCTGTATTTGTGTATGTGTGCCAATACCTGTCAATGTTGTGTGTTCTATAGCTCTGACTCTCTCGCTCTCTCTTCTTGTTTTTCATCTTTCTCTCTCTCTCTCTCTTTCTCTCAACGTCCCCACTCCCTGCGCGCTCCCGCAGGCGTCGAGGACGAGGCACGCCTGCCACGACGTGCGGGCCTGAGACTGCTAGCGCCTCCACCCCGTGCGAACCCCTTTGGTGTGGGCGAAATGCCACGCTTGTCACGCCCAGGGACCCTGAAACAGATAGCGTCCCCACCCCCTGCGCACCCCCTTTCTGGGGTCGAGGAAATGCCACGCCTGCCACGCCTTGCGCCCGAGACGGATAGCGTCCCCACTCCCAGCGCACCCCATCGGGTGTCGGGAAAACGCTAGGCCTGCCACGCCCTGGGGGCCTGCGAAGGATTGCGCACCCGCCCCAAACCCTTCACCCCAACGCGTTACCTCTGGTTTCTCGAAATACCACGCATGCCACGCCCTGGGCCCCTGAAGCGGATAGCATCCCCACCCCTGCACCCCCTCTGGGGTCGAGGACAGGACGCTCTAGCCACGCCCTGGGTCCTTGAAGCGGATAGCGCTCCCACCTCTGCGCACCCCCTCTCAGGTAGGTCGGGAAAAAACACGGGGTGCATGCGACGGGTAGCGTCCCCACCCCCAGCGCGCCACCTCCGATGCCACGAAATGCTACGCCTGCCTCGCCCTGGGAGCCTGAAGCTGGTACCGCTCTCACTTCCTACGCATCCCCTCTGGGGCCTCTGGGGTCGAGTAAGTGCCGCGCCTGCTACGCCCTGGGAACCTGACACGGATAGCGCCCCCTCACTCCCTTGCGCACCCCCTGTGGTATCGTGGAAGAGACACGCCTGCCGCGCCCTGCGAGCCTGAGACGGATAACGCCCCCACCCTCTGCGCACCCCATCTTGTGTCGGGAGAATACCACACCTGCCACGCCAAAGGAGCCTAAGACGGATGATGCTCCCACCCCCAGCACGCCCCCTCGGGTGTCGCGGGAAATGCCGCGCCTGCCACGCCCCGAGAGCCTGAGACGGATAGCGCCCCCATCTCCTCCTCTGGTGTCGGGAAAGTGACACGCCTGCAACGCACTGCTGATCCTACGCGCATGTATTTTGTGGTGCGGACTGCGTCTGCGTGTTTTGTGTAGATGTTCGGTGAACGCTCGGCTGCGTGTGGACGGAATGTCTCATGTGAGTGCCGTGTATGTTTTGTATGCGCCTGGTGCACATACTGCAACGAGCACGCCGAACTGCAATGGCGCTGTATGACGTGAGTGCGTGCATGCCTGATGCGCGCATGTGCGATATTCCTATGTTTTACAATCGCAGACCCTGGACCCCTCCAAGTCCTTGACCCTGGGGGCACCCTGGACGTCCTTGCAGACGGTCCCCTGTGCTTTCCGGGGCTCCTGCAGTCCCTGCTGGGCCTAGGCAACGTGTCCAAATCGGTCAGGAGGGCGACGGCCCCGCGAATGCCCACAGAGGCCCCAAACACCCACCAAACGCCCGAAGACGACTCAAAGAAGACCCCCCGAAGGCATTCGAAATGTCAAAAACATAGATTTCCTATAATTTTTGTTGATTTTCGGAATGCATGCTCAGTTCTTCGGTCTTCCGGGCGTCCAAGACTGCCCAGGAGGCCAGAGCATCGCCCAGAATTTGACCACGAGGGCTACCAGGCAGTCCAAGAGGAGCTCCAAAACAGCCCAACAGGACCCCATAATGGCCCGAAGAGAGCCCCATGACGGCCCAAAATGGCCCCAAGACGCCCCCCGGATCATTCCAAATCGTGACCCGGTCGTTCAGGGAGACCGCGGTTTGAAGCAGGGTGTCCCGGGGAAGCTCCCAGTGGCCGCCAGAAGGAACTCAGGAGGCTTCCGAAGGCCCCAACAAGCCTTCAAAAACCTTCGTGAAAATTGCCAGACGCTCTCCTAGGATGAGCCTCCACACAAAAGAGCTGAGGATGGTGGCGAATTCGTAGTCTAGGGCGAGAATGAGGAGGAAGAGGAAACATGAGGGATGGATAGCAAATCACATTATTACAACAACGATGCCAGAGAAGGCAATTCGCCGGCCCAACGGGCCAGAGGCGTGCGAAGACCTCCGGCTACTGGTAAACAGTATTTCTAATTCGCGCGCGCGGGGGGCAACTCCTGGGGGCCCCTGTACGAAAAGTACCCGGGGCGGTCCGACCCAGAGATCTATGTGTTCCTTCTGAGCTCCGCTTTCAGTCGCCACAGAGCGCTCCTGGAGGGCGCCAAGAGTCCCCGAGACGGTCCAAGAGGGCTCCGAGTCGCCGACCGATCGGTCCAAGACGCCCAAGATAGCCTCCAGACGGCCGCATACGCCCCAAAAACGCCCGAAGAGGCCTCGAAGAAGCGTCTCAAGAGGGCCCCAGAAGCTAAAACCATCGATTCCCCTTGGACTTTGTGTTGCAGAATTTGGGCGTTCTCATCTGTTCGGCTTCCCGACGCTCAAAGGCGGCCCAAGAGGCCCCAAATATCGCCGCAAGACGGCCCAAGAGGCCTCGAAGAGCCCCAAGAGGGCCCCAAGACGGCCCAAGAGGGTCCCAAGACGGCCCAAGAGGGCTCCCAAACGGCCCCAGAGGCGCCCAAGATCGACCAAGAGAGCCCCATGACAGCCCCAAGAGGGGGAACCCGAACCACCAAGTCGAGCCTTCCGCCCCAAGAGGCCCTCAGGAGGCCCCAAGAGGCCCCCAAGAGAGCTCAGGCGGCCCCCTGGAGGCCCCACGAGGTCCCCAAGAGGCCCAACAAGAGGCGCGAAGAGGCCCCAAAACGGCCCCACGAGGCTCCAAGACGCCACGAACGCGCAAGCAAACGCCTGCGATGGCACGATACGGGCCGGCGGAGTGAGCGAAGCGATATTACATAACAATGTATCGCTGCATGTTCTGTTGTATCATATTGTCGTCCTGCCTGCACGCCAAATCTGAAATACCAAAATTCATGGCGCGAAGCGCCAATGCAGTCGTGTGTATATATATACAAGTATATACATTTGTATACGTATACGTATACGTATACGTATACGTCTGTGTGTGCGTATGTAGTGTGTGGCAACGCGACAAGGGGAGGAAGAGGTGAAAAGGTGAACGCGTGTGCGACGAGGGCGGGAGAGACAAGCACAACCCCACTGGGCATATATGGGGAAAGACAGGACCGTAGGGTGCTCGACTCGACTCTCAAGTAGTGGGCAGCAAGGCATGTAGGGACTGTCGGAAGGGGACTGGGCTCGGCAGAGAGTATTGCAGATCGTTGATGCATCCAGGGCTTACTCTGGTAGCCCTCCTGCTCCTCCTCCTCCTCCTCCTCCTCCTCCTCCTCCTCCTCCTCCTCCCCCTCCTCCTCCTCCTCCTCCTCCTCCTCCTCCTCCCCCTCCTTCTCTCGGGGGCGGACCGAAACCCTTCGGCAAGACACCCTGTAGCGAAATCGGCCCAAGACCATACCCAGCGGGCGCAGGCCCTCAGGAATTGCGGGCGCAGCGAATATTCGGGAACCGAAAATGGTGAAACAGCTAGTCGGCCCAGCAGGGCAGTTCTACCAGCCTCCGATTCCCCTCCCCTTCCTCCAACTCCTCCAACTCCCCCCTTCCCCTTCCCTCCCCTCGTCTCCCCCCTTTCGCCGCCTCCTTACCCCCCCTCACCCCCGGGCTCCTCATCACCATCGCCCTGCCCCCTGCCCCCCCATCGCCACCCCTCATCCGCCGCCCCCCATCCCTCTTCCCCCCCTCGCCCTCCGCCTCCTCATCACCATAACCCCCCTCCCTCCCTCCCTCCCCTCGCCACGCCAGCCTCTCTGCAGCTCCGCACCCCGCTCCAGAGCCGCGCAGCACGGCTCGCCGCCCTCCTTGGCGGAAGTCGGGAGGGAAGACAGATGCTGCGACCATCGTCTGGTCAAGATGTCCGTGCAGCGACAAAGAGAAGGGGGAGGAGGAGGAGGAGGAGGAGGAGGAGGAGGAGGAGGAGGAGGAGGAGGAGGAGGCGGAGGAGGAGGAGGAGGTGGAGGAGGAGGAGGAGGAGGAGGAGGAAGAGGAGCAGCAGCAGGAGCAGCAGGAGCAGGAGCAGGAACAGGATGAGGAGGATATGAGTTTGGAAGGGGAGGATTGGCAGAAGAAGGAGGATGCGCAGCAGGAAGAGGAGCAGCAGGAGGAATTCTTGGAGTGGGATGATTCGCCCCCCCCGTTGGCCCTCTGATATCGTCTCTGGCGAGTGCATGGCCACTGCTTCGCCGCCGCAGCCGCACGACAGGGCTCGACCCCCGCAGCAGGATTGGCTTGGTCTGTGGAGGAGGGCGACGAGGACCAGGAGGGGAAGCGGGGTGGGTCCCACGTGCCCACGGCCGGAGGCCGCCCTGGGGCCCTGGCCGGAGCGAGCCCGGGGGCGGGCCAGGCCTCACATTCGACGCCTAATGTGATGCACATGCCCGTCGGTCGGAAGAAGTGGGTAGAAACATTAAGTAGGAACGCGTTGAAAGTATGTTGGGCTTCCGCCCGCCCCCCGACTCGACTCTCAGAGCAGGAAGGCGCCCAAAGTAGATGGGGACCTGGGCATCCAAAACGACGTACTTTCAACGACCGACGGGGAATTCTCCAAGGTCCGAACGAATGTATTGGGTCGACGCTGGGCCCGCCCCACCCTAGCGCGCAGAGGCGCGCACAGGGGCGGCGCCAGAGGCGCCGCTACAGTCAACCCGTGCAATTAGGATGCGCGGTGAGGATGCAAGGGCCTTGGAAGGCAATGTCGATACTTTTCGAGCGGGGCGCGGCCAACGAAAGTGGCCGAGGATGGACAGAGGAGACAAGGATGCCAGGGTACCCTTGAGAAGGTTACCTTTACGTACTATGCGGGTTGACTGTAACTGGGGGGGCCCAGCGCCGATCCAAGAACTCCGCTCGGGCCTCCGAAAAATATGTTCACGCTGATTTAACCTCCTCCACTGGCTCGTGCCTTGCAGACGGGCTGCTGCGAAAATCGACGTGGATCTCTGAAAACGAGGCAGCCCAACACGGCGAGCGGAAGACGAAGCGAATTGCACGTGGATCGTTCTACGTCTCATTTCCGCCCTGACAACATCAGCTCGAAACTCACAACATCATCCAGAGCGGCATTCAGAACAAGATCCAGGGCTCTTTCACTCGTTCTTTCGATCGAAATCCGCTCTGCGAAGTTGGCGCAATGACTCTTCGCACACTGCCAGCGACGAAGAAGGCCCGCGCCTCGGCTCGGGTGCGTCCAAGAGGGGGGGTCCAAGAGGGGGTTTCGCAAATCATGGCCAGAGGCATGCGCGCGGACGAGGGCGGGACCAGGGGACGCGCTGAAATGGGAAGGAAGGCCATACATACTGCGGAGACCTCATGGCCCTGGCCATGACATTCCCCCCCCCCCCTCATCATCCCCCCCGTCCTGGCCGCCCCCGACCGGCAGCAGAGGAGGAGGCCGCCTGGGCCGCCCTTCGAGAAGGCCCCGTCGCAGAGAGGCGCGGGCCCCCTCGCTCGCAGAGCGGCGCGGCGCACAAGGCTGGGAGCCCAGCTCCAGGGCAGCGGCCGGGGGCGAGGGAGGAGAGCACAGTCATCGTGCCACCGTAGGGGAAGCAGGATCAGGGACGAAGGGGCTTTTCTGGCCACGGCGGGCCTAGGCCACAAACAGGTTCAAAGACAGAGATCGAAGGAATTACCCGAAAACCGGAGCCCGTCCTGAGCCCAAAGCTATCCTGACTTCAGCACGTTCACTGAAAGCTGTCCTTACTTCAGCATGTTCGCTGTACGAGATGGGGAGATATCCAAATCCACCGCCTGGGGAACTGACCTCCTTGGCCCCCAGCGGGCGGTGGATATGGATCCGCCACCGTGCCTCTGGGCACGGAGTGGACGTGTCCTCAGGTCCATTGCCTAATCCTCCAACCCTCAATCCTCACTCCTGAGGAGCCTGACGAGGCCATGGGCCCACATTGTCAAATCTCCTGGGCCCCAGAGGCTCTCAAGATGCCCCCTCCTCCTCTTCCTCCTCCTCCTCCTCCTTCTCCTCTGCCTCCTCCACCTCTTCTTCTTATTATTATTGTTAGTATGTTTCGTCTTCAGCTTATTATGCTTATTCGTATTGTCAGTATTATTCTTCCTCCCGGCCATACTAACACAAGTGTTCCCCGAAGGGTTTCCACAACGGTTTGGGGAACACATGGTCCGATAGCTTGGCAGAGCTCTTGCGACAACGCTCGGCCGTTCGTTCTTCTCAGCCTCCAGATGCCCCCGCTCCGGGCCAGTCCCACGAGCGCTCATAGCGTAGGCGGTTTGACGAGCAAGTGGGACCGATGCCAACTGATCCCACCAGCGTTCTGGGCGTAGGCGGTTTGACGGATGAGTGGGGCCGATAATAGCTTGTCAAATCCCACCAGCGGTCAGGGCGTATGCGGTTTGTCGAGTCGGCTCTTCCAACGTCCTTCGTCTCCTTCGGAAGGGGATCACCCCGCCAGCTCCCCCCCCCTGGGTCTGGACTCCACCCCACCTTCCCCGCGAGGTGCGAGAGAGTTGATGTTGGCCCAAGGATGTCACCAGAAGTCCCATGTGGCCTCCAAGCTCGCTCAAGAGAGCCCAAGCTGGCTCAAGTCAGCTTCCAGCAAGCCCTCAAGAGGAGGAGGAGGAGGAGGAGGCCCTAATGTCGCCCCAAGGCGGCTCAAGTTTCCACGGAGCCATTCACGGACGTCACCGATCGCCCGACATCCGTCCCAAACCTGAGGAACAAAGGTTTCGGCGCGGAGATCCGACATATGCATCTATTTGCTGACACAGTTCCCGCGTCGAGTGTTTGCGGGCGAGAGAATCTAAGCATGACTGGGTCTGAATACGGAGTCAAAGTGTGGATGAATCTGAACGCGAGTGAGTCCGAGCGTGAGTGAATCTACGTGCACGGGTGTGAGTGAAGGTGACTCGCCTGAGTGCGGGTGTGAGCGTGAGAGGTCTGAGCGCACTCCAGTGTGAGTGGTCGGAGTGTACGTGTGAGCTTCGGGCGGGCGTGTTTGGCACCGAGACAAGCAAGCATCCCGAGACATCCCCTGGGGTGCCGGAGCCAGCGCCCCGATGGAGACGTCCTCAGAAACTGCGCTGAGCACAGACGAGCCCGGGGTCCGCAACCAAGCAGACCGCCTCTGAAACGTCCTCGCAATCTGGGCGCCAACGGGCCCGTGACATGCCCCCCCGGCGGCTCCCCGGGCGCTGGAGCCAGCGCCCCGCCGGAGACACCCTCGCGAACTGCTCCCAAAGCAGAGGACGTCGCGCATGCAGACAGGCCAACCGCCTGAGGCATTCCCACCATCCGGGCGCGATTCCTGGAGTGTCCCCACGCAGCCAGATCCCCCTTTGGGACTGCCGGAACCAGCGTCTCACCTGAGACATCCTCACAAACTGCGCCGACAGCAGAGGATGTTGCGCATGCAAACAGGTTGAACCTCCTGAGTCATCCACGCATTTAAACGAGAATCCTGGAGTGTCCGGGACACTCGAGGATTCTCATTGGCAGCTCCCCCCTGGGGTGTCAAAATGCAACGCCTGCAATATCGCGGTGAGCATTGTGCGAGTCTGAATACGAGTCTGAGTGTGAGTGAGTCTGAATATGAGTAAGTCTGAGTACGAGTGAGTGAGCCTCAGGAAGATGAGGAGGATGTAGAAGGCCCGGAAGCGTCTTAAAAAACAATCCTGACGAAGGACCCAACTATATGGAGTTGTGAGTACCGTCGTTGCGGGTATCGTTTTCGGGGGATCTCCCCATGGGACCATGAAGCGTGTGAAAGGTGTGCCGATATGGGGCGCTGCCACTAGGGGCTTTGAACGGAACTCACTATGGGGCCGCGAGACGTGTGAATGGTGCGCCGCACTGGGGCGGGGCCGCCACTGAGGCCGTCGGTGGAGCTCCGTACGGGGCCACGGAGCGCTGGTCTGGATGGGGGAACCGCGTGCGAACACGGCCACTGAGGCCTTTGGTGGAGCTCCCCGTGGGACCAGCGGCACGCTGTACTGGGTGGGGGAACCGCGTGCGAACACCGCCACCGAGGCTTTCGGTGGAGTTCCCCATGGGGCCACGGAGCGCTGTACTGGATGGGGGGGACGCATGCGAACACCGTCACTGGGGCCTTCGGTGGAACTCCATATGGGGCCACGAAGCGCTGTCCTGGGCGGGGGAACCGCATGCGATCACCGCCACTGAGGCCTTTCGGTGGAACTCCCTAAGGGGCCACGAAACGCTCTACTGGATGGGGGAGCGCGATGCGAACACCGCCACTGAGGCCTTCGGTGGAGCTCCGTATGGGGCCACGAAACGCTGTACTTGGTGGGGCAACAGCATGCGAAAACCGCCACCGGGGCCTTCGGTGGAACTCCATCCGGGGCCACGAAGCGTTGTGCTGGATGGGGAACCGCGTGCGAACACCGCCACTGAAGCTTTCCGTTGGAGCTCCCTATGGGGACACAAAGCGCTGTACTGGGTGGGGGAACCGCATGCGAACACCGCCACTGGGGCCTTCGGTGGAGCTCCCTACAACGGCGCTACGAAAGTTTGAGCCCGCTTCGTGTTTCCATCAGGACACGTCTTGGGAGCGCCATTGCGAATTCGAGCTGAAGAAGTGCCGACCGAAGTCCTGGGCAGGGGGGCCATTTAAACATGTAGCCAAAAGGCGTCGAATTCTACTGTTCAAGAAGTCTGGGGCGGGAACGCCATGCGATCACCGCCACTGAGTCCTTCGGTGGAGCTCCCTGTGGGGCCGCGAAACGTTGTACTGGTGGGGGAACCGCACGCGAACACCTCCAATTGGGCCTTCGGTGGAGCTCCCTATTGGGCCACGCAACGTTGTACTAAGTGGGGAAGCCGCATGCGAACACCGCGACTGAACCCTTGGGTGGAGCTACCTACGGGGCCACGGAACGCTGTACTGGGTAGTGTAACTGCATGCGAACTCCGCATCTGAGGCCTTCGGTAAAGCTCACTATTGGGCCACGCAACGCTGTACTAAGTGGGGGAGCAGCTTGCGAACTCTGCCACTGAGGCCTTCGGTGGAGCTACCTACGGGGCCACGAAACGTGTAGGGGTGTGCCGCAATGGTTGACTGGTGCGGAGGGAATTGGCACGGATAGGAGGAGGAACGAGGGGGAGGAGGAATGAGGAGAGACGCGGGAATCTGTCTGTTCAACACGAGGACCCAATACCACGGATGGTTGGGAACAAGAAACGAATCTTAGGGTATTGGGAATCATGATGTTGGCCTTCCCACCGTTTCTCTTCCCGCGTGCTTAACATGCGCCCAAGAGGCGCCCGAGAGGGCTCCGAGACGGCCCCAAGAGCAGCCAAGAGAGCCTGGAACGGGCCCCCAAAGACAACGTTTCTGCATCAGACAGGGGGGCTGACATTAGGAACACCCCCCTCATTGATCGATAACCTTCAAGATGTCCCCGATTGCGCTTAGATGATTCCAAGAGCTCATCGAGCAATCCTTGCCTCAGTATGTGCTTAACTAGGCGTCTCCTTCAGACAGTATCCCTTGGAATTGTGTTTGGGCTGGCTTGCGGGGATGCGCGAAGCGCCAAGAATCTTGGCCGGCGAGAAGAGGAGGAGGGACGTTTTGTAGAAGCATGCTGCCCGCCACGCTGAAGGCGAACCCTGGGTCGAGAGACGCAGACGGTCGGGGACAGATCAAAACTGAGCACGGCTATGTAGTACACGATAGCCCCGAAGTCGGCTACTCATCCACCTCGTATGGCTTCTCCACCTCATCCACCTCGTATGGCTTCTCCTGCTGTTGCCCAACCTCCTCCTCCTGCTTCTCCTCCACCTCATCGTCACACCTACCTGCCCCCACTCGTGCTCCTCTCTATTCTACCCCTGCGATCCGACGCTTCCATTCCCACCAGCCCTGTGGGCTAAGGTGGTCTAACGAGTTTGTTCAGTGCCTGTCCAAAAAAACAATTCTTGGAGACTAACCTCCCCACCCCCTCCCTGTTCGTTTTTGGTGTTTTGTTGGGGCGGGGGGCGCGAGGTGTCTCAGGCCGCCCAAGATGGCCCAAGATGGCTAGAAAAAGAGCCTTCGATGCTCCAAAATGGCCTCCAAGATGGGCCAAGATAGCCGACGATGTTCAAGATAGCGTCCGACATACCTCCAAGAGGCCCGACGAGAGCCACAAAACGGTTACAAGTGCTCCCGGATCCCCTCGGGACCCCTCAAGAGGCCAGAGCCTTCAAAACACCTGAGGGAAATCAATGATGCTTGCCTTCTCGCCGTTGTTTCGCTTCCAATGCGCTGCCCCGAGAGGACCCCAACATCCCCCAAAGGCAGAGCCCTTTTTTTGAGAACGATTTTGAGGTCTCCGTCCTCGAGGCTCCAAGAAACGATGTGAGGGCTCTGTACTCGTCCTCATTGTCCTCCTCCTCCTCCTCCTCGTACTCGATCTCGTCCTTGCGTCTTTCCGTTCCTTGTCCTCCTCTTCCGCGTCGTCGTCGTGGTCGTGGTCGTCGTCGTGGTCGTGGTCGTCGTCGTGGTCGTCGTGGTCGTCGTCGTCGTCGTTATCGTCGTCATCCTCCTCCTCCTCCTACTCCATCTCCTTCCCTAGCCCCCACACAGACCCCAGGGATGGCCCGAAGAGGCCCTTCACGACCAACACGTTCCTCCCAGAGATTTCTCTACTCATCCTGGTTGTCCGCTTTGTTTCACTACATGCCTCTTCGTCCCTCTTCCCGTCAACTCCCATGGGCAGGGTTAGTAAAAAGACTGGTGGGGACGCGTGAAGCGTGAAGAATTCTTCCACTCCCTTCTCCTCTTTCACTCCCTCCCCCCCTCCTACTCATGCAAAACTCCCGATCCTCTGCGGACAGCGCAGAGAAGAAGTCGTCGACGAACGAGTCCTCTTCCGGGCAGCCGCCCGCCGAAGAAGTGCCCGAGGACGAAGTCTGGGAGAGCTGCCTGGGAAGCAGAACTCAACTCACGGCCCGGGTGTGTTCCCCCATCGGCGCCAGAACGTTGGATACGGAACAGCGGTTGAGCCAGCAGCACGCTGATAAGAACGTCAATGAGCAGGGGAGCAGGAGAAGAAGAGCAGGAGGACAGGCGAAAGACGAGCAGGGGAGCAGGAGAAGGAGAAGACAGGGGAGCAGGAGAAGGGAGACGAGCAGGGGACGATGAGCGGAAGGGGCGAGCAGGGGAGCAGGAGAAGAAGAGCAGTAGAGCAGGAGGAAGACGAGACCCACATCGAACGAGCATGCTCGAACCATGATCAGGGGGTGATGCCTTGAATGTTCGGGCCGTATTCCAGGTGCCGACCCTGGCGAGCTGCATGAATACAAATGATCGGTCTCTCAACGCATGCGATACCGAACGCGGCAGAACAGCTTAACGCGGTCACGACATGGTGCATCTTCCTATTCCTGCAACTGCACGCTCTTGTTGTGTTGGACCGCTGTCTCCTGTCCCATGTCATTGAATCCCTCCTCACCAGCAGCATCATGATCGTCAACTAGATGCACACCATCATCAAAATCAGCATCGCACTCACGATCAATATGTCGTCATCGTCCTCGTCCTCATCCCCATCCTCATCCTTGCCCGCACCCCATCACTGCGACGTGGTATCATATAGTCCTCTTCCTCCTCCTCATCCTCCTCCTCCTCCTCTTCCCGCTCATCATAACTATCATCAACACAACCGCCACAACCACCACCATCATCACCACCACCACCAACACCACCACCACCACCACCTCCATTATCATCATCATCCTCATCATCAACATCATCATCATGACCAGCAGCATCGGCATCAGCATCAGCCTCATCATCATCGTCATCATCATCATCAGCATCATCAGCATCATCATCATCAACGTCGGCGCCGTCGTCATCATCGTCATCGTCATCGTCATCGTCATCACAATCATCGTCGCCACCTTTTCTCAACATCATCATAGTCACACTCATACTGGTACTCCTACTCGTGATACGCATCGTCAGTTCCACTCGCTTGTCGCAGCTGTTCCTGTTCGTACTGCCCCTGCGCATGTCCATCCAACACCATGCCTCCTTCTCACAGTACAGTCCTCCTCTTGACATCCTCTGCAATGATGCTCCCTGTCCTCCTCCTCCTCCTCCTCCTCCTCCTCCACTCAACCCCTCCTCATCATCCTCCTCATCCTTTTGCCTCGTAGACATCCCCCCTCCGCATCATGCCCCACTCGTCGTCATACTTATCATTAGAATGTTCGCGCTGCCGCATCCTGCCCTCTTGACCCTGTAAATGCACAACTGCATGCACGTACTTGTCAGCCTCCTGATCGTGTCCCTGATCCGCCGCCTCCCCTCCCCACAGATCCCCTCCCCCTCACGTCGCCCATCCCCTCCTCTCGCTCCCCATAGAGCTGCCTCCCCCCTCCAGCTGCCTCCACGAAGGGCAGAGGAATGAACAAGGGAGTGAGGGAGCACGGACGAGGAGGAGTGAGGAGAGGGGAATTGGGAAAGCAGGTTGCTTCTGTTAAGTTCCAGCGCCTCATTGTCCTAAACATGGCGCAGACAAGGCCCTCACACCTCACCAGCACATGTATCATCATTCAGGAAGCCACTGTGTCCAGTCACTCAGTGGACCGTTCTCGGGTCCACAAGAGACCTTAATAGTAAACATTCATACGGGCCCTGGACACACCAATTCACAGGTCTTCTGGGCGCACTGTGGGATGTGGCGCGTGACTTTCCTTGAGGCCGTAGAAGCGTTATTCGGGCTCGCAACATCTAGACTGCTGTATGGTGGCCTTAAAGGCCCGTCTGGTCGACCTCTGGGGCAGTCATGGAGCCTCTGGAGGTTGTCCCAAGAGGCCACAACAGTCCGAAGCCGTTGAGTTGGTGTATCACATTAGCGTTTTGGTTCGTTCAACCAGATGGGCGTCCAAGACGGCTCGAAGATGCCCCCGACATCGCTCCGAGACGGCCCGTGATATCCCACCAAAGTCTCACGACTTTCCACAAGAAAACCCCAAGAGAGGACCAAACGGGAAACTCGGAGGTCCCTCTCCCCAATATGGCGCCGAGACGGACGGCATGCCCCCTCGATGCCTCATGAGCCCCTCAGAACCTCGTCAAGAAGCCGACGGAAGACTCCAAGATGTCGCTTTGCGAGGCCTCCAAGATGACCCCGAACAAAAACCCTAATAGACCCACGAGGCCCCCAAGAAAACTCTGGTTTTACCCTGGCAGAAAGGCGGGAATGTCCGCAACGACGCCGCGTGCTCAGGGGAGGAAGGAAGGAAAAGCATGGGGGATCAAAGAAGAATCGATACCGCTACTCCCTGGACATCTCTCCTCTCCCGGGGTGCGATCAAACCATGATCTCGAGGAAACTCTGGCCGTGGCGGCGAGGGCATCCGTACCAATTCCTGCTGCGAGAACGGGGACAACAGGGGAGGGCGTGGAAGTGGGAGAGCTGAACATAAAAACATGAGCCTGGCGAAGGACCCAACCATATGCAGTTGAGAGTACCGCAATTGTGAATATCTTCTTCGGTGGCGCTCCCTATGGGGCCACGAGCCGTATGAGGGGTGTGCCGAAATGCGTGGCAGTGTACACAACACGAACGAAGACGATAGGTCCGAATATGAAAGCTTGAGCGCGTGCGAGTCGGATCGCGAGCGAGTCTGATTATGAATGAATCTGCGCGCGATTGATTCTATTCGCATGAATGCGTGCATGGATACGCCCAGTGTAAATGTATGTATACGACTGTGAACAGTTTGGGTCTGCGTGACTCTCGGTACTCGTGACTCTGAGCGTCGCCTCTGCAGGGGGCTTCCCTGGGAACCCCGACGGCAGCGCCCGCGCGCCGCGACGCCCATGTCGGCACGCCACACACCTGGTGTGCGGGACGCATGCGGACGGCAGCACTGGGGCCTTCGGTGGAGCTCCCTGTGGGGCCACGAAACGTGTGAGGGGTGTGCCGAAATGGGTGTGCGGGACGCATGCGGACGGCAGCCATGGGGCCTTCGGTGGAGCTCCCTATGGGGCCACGAAACGTGTGAGGGGTGTGCCGAAATGGGTGTGCGGGACGCATGCGGACGGCAGCACTGGGGCCTTCGGTGGAGCTCCCTGTGGGGCCACGAAACGTGTGAGGGGTGTGCCGGTGGACGCATCCTTCGGTGTGGGGCCACGAACGTGTGACGTGTGCGGACGGCAGCAGGGTGTGCCGAAATGGGTGTACGCGGACGGCGTTGGGGCCTTCGGTGGAGCTCCTATGGGGCCACGCAAACGCTCCCTATGGGGTGAAAGGGGTGTGCCGAAATGGGTGTGCGGGACGCATGCGGACGGCAGCCATGGGGCCTTCGGTGGAGCTCCCTGTGGGGCCACGAAACGTGTGAGGGGTGTGCCGAAATGGGTGTGCGGGACGCATGCGGACGGCAGCACTGGGGCCTTCGGTGGAGCTCCCTGTGGGGCCACGAAACGTGTGAGGGGTGTGCCGAAATGGGTGTGCGGGACGCATGCGGACGGCAGCCATGGGGCCTTCGGTGGAGCTCCCTGTGGGGCCACGAAACGTGTGAGGGGTGTGCCGAAATGGGTGTGCGGGACGCATGCGGACGGCAGCACTGGGGCCTTCGGTGGAGCTCCCTGTGGGGCCACGAAACGTGTGAGGGGTGTGCCGAAATGGGTGTGCGGGACGCATGCGGACGGCAGCCATGGGGCCTTCGGTGGAGCTCCCTATGGGGCCACGAAACGTGTGAGGGGTGTGCCGAAATGGGTGTGCGGGACGCATGCGGACGGCAGCACTGGGGCCTTCGGTGGAGCTCCCTGTGGGGCCACGAAACGTGTGAGGGGTGTGCCGAAATGGGTGTGCGGGACGCATGCGGACGGCAGCCATGGGGCCTTCGGTGGAGCTCCCTATGGGGCCACGAAACGTGTGAGGGGTGTGCCGAAATGGGTGTGCGGGACGCATGCGGACGGCAGCACTGGGGCCTTCGGTGGAGCTCCCTGTGGGGCCACGAAACGTGTGAGGGGTGTGCCGAAATGGGTGTGCGGGACGCATGCGGACGGCAGCCATGGGGCCTTCGGTGGAGCTCCCTATGGGGCCACGAAACGTGTGAGGGGTGTGCCGAAATGGGTGTGCGGGACGCATGCGGACGGCAGAGGAGAGGAGAGAGGAGGAGAGGAGGTGGGACGCGGGGCGCTGTCTCTTCAAAACGAGGACCCAACACCACAGGATGGTTGGGAATTAAGTAGAAGGCGGATAGAGTAGATTGGGTTCAGGCCCTTCCAGATAACAACAAAACACAGCAAAAGCATATCGAGAAGTATGAAGGCGCTTGAAGTAAATTTGGGTCTGGGAATCAAAACAACAACTACTTTCAGCGACCGGCGTGTAGTGGGGGTAACTCGAATGGGGCGGCTGGAGCAGGTGCACTAGCGCTCGCAGTAGTTTTTTGCATGGATGCAGTCGTCCTTTGTGGTCTGGACGCACTAGTTGCGCGTGGATGCAATCGTGTATTCTCTCAACCGCCAAAGCTCATGCCCGTTGAAATAGGACGCCCCCACCCGCAGTAGTCCGCGCAAGAGTTCGCGCAAACGAACTATTGCATCTCCAACCGCCCCCCCATTGGCGTTGCCCCCACCGTTCCAGTCCAGAAGAGCAGGACGTAAAGAGCCAAAGGCTGAAGCTTCGACCGCCCCGCTGCCGTTCGACGCCGATGGTGGTGGCCGTCTCTGTCGCGCCCCGCAGCCAGCTGGTGGTGAACGCGCTCGAGGTGCTGTCGCAGGTCGTGGTGAGGCTGCTGAACTTGCTGAGGTCTCCGAGCTTGGCCTCTATGTGGGAGGATCTCCAGAGGGGGGCGGGGGGGGGCGTGTCCGAGGCACGTGCG